CCTCTGGACTTTGTACATGTCATTTCCCTTTGCTGTTTTCACTTTGTACCCTTTCACAGTAAATTTTAACTGTGAGTAGTACTATGTGCTGAGTCCTGTGAGTCCTAATGAATCATTGATTTTGGCAGTGGTCTTGGGGCTCTCCAACACAATGACCAAATGGGATTTATCCCGGAAATGGAAGGTTGGTTCAAAATATACCATACTAATAAAGCAAGAAAACCACATGATCTGATCCTAATAGATACAAAAATTTTATCTACTGGAAGGCAGCTTCCTCAACCTGATTTTTAAAAATCTATGAAATACTGTCAGCTAATATTGTACTAAATCATAAGATTGCTTTCCTGCTAAGATCAGGAAGAAGACAAGGATGTCCATTCTGGACATTTCTATTCAATATTGCGTTAGAGGTTAGAGCCAGGCAATTAGGCAAGAAAGAGAAATAAATCTTATCTATTTACGGGTGACATCATGCTGTATTAATAAAATCTTAAGGAATCCACCCACATTCCTTTGATATTATGCTTTCAATTATTTGGTGTATATACCCAAATTGAGGTTGCTGGACCACTTGGTATTTCAATTTTAAATTTTTTGAGGAAGCACCAAACTTTTCCATAGTGGCTGCACCATTTTACATCCTCACCAACTGTGCACAACGATCCCCATTTTGTACATCCTCTCCAGCGCTTGCTAATTTTTTTCATAGTATCTATCATAATGGGTATGAGGTGATACCCCATTTGATTTTGATTTCCCCAATGATTAGTAATGTTAAGCCATTTTAATTGGTTTTTGGCCATTTGTATATCATTGAAGAAATGTAAAATCAGATGGTTTATTACTGAGTTGTGGAAGTTCCTTATATATTCTGGATATTCACCTCATATCCGATGAACATACATAGATTTTCTCCCATTCCATGGGGGTTGCTTTTTCACTCTGTTGATTGTGTCTTTGCACAGAAGTTTTTCATTTTGATGTACAATAGTAAGACTTATCCTTTTCTTTTGTCGCCTGTGCTTTTGGTGTTGTATCCAAGAAATCATTGCTAAATCCAATGTCATGAAACTTTTTTTCTGTTTTCTTCTAAAGTGTTTATAGTTGCAAGTCTTTCATTTAGGTCTTTGATCCAATTGCATCAATTTTTTGTCTATGATATTATGTAAGGGTCCAGTATTATACTTTTGCACATGGATATCTAGTTTTCCCAGTACCATTTGTTGAAGAGATTCTTTTCCCCATTGTCAAAAGTCACTTGTGTATTTTACACCATTGGTCTATGTGACTGTATTCATGCTACATGTCTTTTTACTACACCGCTTTGACTACCGTAGCTTTGCAGTAAGGTCTGAAATCAGGAAATGGGAATCCTCTAACTTTACTTTCCTTTTCCAAGTGTGTTTTGGCTATTTAGGTTTTCTTGTGGTTCCATATGAATATTAGGATTCATTTTTCCATTTCCCCAAAAAACAAATTTTAGTGTTGACATTTTAACAATATTAAGTCTTCAGATCCATGAACATGAAATGTCTTTGCACTTATTTGCGATTTCTTTAATTACTTCCAGCAACACTTGGTAGTTTTCAGTGCACAAGTCTTTTATGTCTTTGGTTAAGTTTATTCCTAAGTAAAAATATTAGTTGTATTTCTATACACTAGCAGTAAACAACCAAAAAATGAGATTAAGAAAAACAATTCCATTTACAATACCATTAAAATGAATAAACTAGTTACCAAAAGAAAACTACATAACATTCTTGAAAAAAATTAAAGAATACCTAAAATGAAAGGAAAAACATCTCATGTTCATTGATTGGAAGACTTGTTGTTGTTAAGAATCCAGTATTTCCCCCCAAATCACTTACATATTAAAAGCAATAGCTATCTAAATTCCAATAGCCTTTTCACAGAAATTGACAAACTGAACCTAAATTTCATATGAAAATTCAAGGTCCCCAGAATAGTCAAAATAATCTTTATTTTTTTAAGAGGCAAGCTGGAGAACCCACTTTCTGATTTCAAAACTTACTTCAAAGCTACAGTAATCAAGACTGTAGTACTGGCATAAAGACAGATGTATCGACTAGTGGAATCAATTTGAGAGTCCAGAAGTAAACCAATACATTTCTGGTCAACTGATTTTTAACAAGGGTCCCAAGATAATTCAAAGGGAAGAAAGAACAGTATTTTCAATAAATGCTGGCACAACTGGGGAGCCACATGCAAAAGAATGACTTTGGGTCTCTGCTTCACACCACACACAAAAATGACTTAGAATATGTCAAAGACCTAAATTTAAGAGTTAAACCTATAAAACTGTTAGAAAGAAACATAAAACACACATTTTTGTGGCAATGAATTAGGTAATGGTTTCCCCATATGACATCTAAAGCGTGAACAAAGAGCCCTGGCTGGGTCCTGGGTTGGTTGGAGCGTCGTCCCTTATACCAAAGGGCTGCAGGTGTGATCCCCATCGAGGTGCATGCAGGAGGCATCCAACTGATGTCTCTCTCTCTCTGTTCTCTCACTAAAGAACATGTCTTCAGGTGAGGATTAAAGGGAAAAAAGCACAAGCAAGCAAAAAAAAACAAACCGGACACCTTCAAAATTAAAAACCTTTGTGATTCAGAGAACACCATTAAGAAAATAAGAAGATAACCTGCAGAATCAGAGAAATGTTTACAAATTATGTATTTGCTAAGGGTCTAGTATCCAGACTATATAAAGGATTCTTTCAACTCAACAATAAAAAAACATAACCCAATTTAAAACGTACAAAGGATTTTAAAGATATTTCTGAAAAGAAGATACACAGGTGGCCAAAAAGCACATGGAAAGATAGTCAACTTCATTAATTATCAGAGAAATGCAAATTGAAAGCGCAATGAAAAAGCACTTTATTCCACTAGGATGGTCTAATAAAAAGACTGATGATAGTAAATGTTATTAATGTGGAGAAAATGGAAGACTTATACATTGCTATGGAAATGTAAAAAGATTCAGACGCTGTGTAAAATAGTACAGCAGTTCCTTGAAACAGCTACCATACGATCTAGCAGTTCCATTCCTAGGTACATACTTAAGAGAATTGAAAACATATCCACTTGAGAATTTGTATACAAATGTTTATTATTCGTAATAGCCCAGGAGTGGAAACAATTCAAATATCCATCAGCTGATGAATGAGTAAACAAGATGTGGTATAGTATATCCAGCCCTGGCCCATGTGGCTTGGTTGGAGTGGCCTCCTATAACTGAAAGGTTGTGGGTTTGATTTCTGGGCTGAGTACACGTGGGAGGCAACCAATCTATGCTTCTATGCTTCTGTCTCACGTTACAATTTCTCTCCCTTCTCTCTCTGAAGGCAGTGAAAAAATGTCCCCAGTTGGGGATTTAAAAAAAAAAAAAGTGGTATATCCATGTAGTAGAATTTTATCCATAAAAAGGAATGAAGTACAGATTCATGCTAAAACATGAATAAAATTATGAAAACATGCTAAACCAAAGTCAGACACAAAAGGCCACCTGTTACATGATTTCACATGTATGAAATGTCCAGAATAGACAAATCCTTACAGACAGAAAGTAGGTTAGTGGTTGCCAAGGGCTGGAGGGAGCACAGGAACGGTGCTGGTAATTGGGGGTTTCTTTTGGAGGTGATGACAACCTTGTGAATGTACAGAAAACCACTGGACACTTTAAAAAATGGTGAATTTTAGGGTATGTGAATTATATTCCAACTTAAAAAAATCAAGAAGAAAGGCTTTTAAATAAAATTTACAGGTACTTCCATTTTGGAAACCATTGCCTAAGCTCATCGGATTATTGAAAAGTGGCTGTGTTGGAGAGGAGTCACCCCAAGGACTGCCCACTACCTTACCTCCCCCTCGCATGTACTCTTCCTGGTTGTGGGTCCTTACCTTTCATCCTTGTGCTCTCTGGCACTGTCCAGATTCTCCGTATAGCACCTCCCAGTAAAATTCCAGCCCTGCCTTCTGGATCACCCTGAATCTGCGGCTGGTCATTTCTTGCCAGTGTGGATCAGTAAGTGAAATTCTGATTCACTAAGTTCTTTACCTGGTTAATATTTTTAAATTAGAATTGCAAAGAGATGAACGCCACTAGTTTGTAAAAAATAACTTTGCTGTGTGAATCTGACTATATTCTAAGAGTCAAGAAAATCTATCAAGTCATTTGTAGATGAGAATCACACTCAGCTTGGTAGGGCCCCTTGAAGTCATCTGGTCCAACTCCTCTCTGAATGCGTTGATCTATTCTCCTCCCAAATGGCACTTCAGTCTAAGTCCAAAAAAGTCCCCTACTGGTGAGACTTCACTCTCAAGTCATTAGAGAACTGTAAAAAAGTTCTGTAGAATAAATAGAAAGGTTTTTCCTAAGGCTTCTGCCCGCTGGTCTAGTTCTGTGCTCCCATGGGGGCACAGAACAAGCCCAAGGCCTCTTTAATGTGTCAGTTCTCCAGAGGCTAAAGACAGAAATCAAGAAGAGCTTTTCTCAAAAAATAAATAAATAAATAAATAAATAAATAAATAATATATATATATTACTAATTTATTTCTAGAGAAAGGGGAAGGGAGAAAGAAAGGGAGAGAAACATCAACGTTGGTTGCCCCTCACATGCCTGCCACTGAGGACCAGGCCTGCATCCCAGGGATGTGCTCTGACTGGGAATCAAACCAGTGACCCTTTACTTCACAGTCTGGCACTCAATCCACTGAGCCACACCAGCCAGGGCAAGAATAGCTTTCTAATACCTGTAATTCACCTACTTGGCTAATACTCTTAAAAATTATTTTGGGGAAATTGACGCACTTGCAAATTTACTTTCTAGATAATAAGAAAACACTGCATTTGTTTCTGGGGTGATAAAAAGTTTTCTACCTTCATTAACTGTTACTGGAAATTCTTAGTTTTCCATGGCCCATAAAGTTTAAAATAAACTAAGTGTGTAAACACATCATGCTAAATACATCAAATCATTTAAATTTTTTATTATGACAATTGACATATATTAAGTGAAGGAAATGACAGAAGTAGTCAATAAAACATTTTGAAAGAAAAATTTATATTGTACAATTAGGCCAACAGCTATAAAATAGCTTTAGGCCTAGCTTATAACACCAAGAGTTCTGATCGGACTGTAGCGAGACATTGAACATTTCATTAACAAAAATATTGGCACGAGCCACAACATATTTTGGTTGTCACTTACAAGGAATATATTTAAACAACTAAGCACTGCAATTCTAACACACTAGGTGTTCATACACTGCAGTTAGCCCCTGAAGCTTTAAGCTACCAGGAATTCCCATATTTCCCATGCACAAAATTTACTTTGTGCATTATTGGAATCACATTTCCAGTTTTCAGATCTCTTTCCCTCCCACCCCCCACACACATGCAATACGATATATGTGGTAGAGAGCACTTCAGCTTCCTCTATTTGATTAATAATAGCACATAGATCCTGATTACCTCAACAGTTTTGTTAATCTTGGAGCTTCTGCTTTAGCTCTCATCTAGCAACAAAATAAAGCATTCTGAGAACCTATTCCAGGAATAATTTGCTTTATGCATAAGAAAATAAAGCATTTCATATAAGCATGCTTGAAAATCCAAGAGGCATTCTGATCAAACACTCCCTGAATTCCAGCTATTACTTTAAAAACAAAATGAAAATCTAACATATTATTTACAAATTCTTATCTGGAATTTGTATTCTTCACCTGGAAATTCATGATTCCCAGACTGTACCTCTCATCAAATGAGGATAGCCAAGAAACTGACATCCCACATTAGCTGAAGATAAAGGTAGTTTGGATAGAAATTATGACACACTTAGATGAATTTAATATGCTTGTGCTACAAAGCTAAGATATTAGAAAGGTAAAATTATGAGATGGCAAAAAACAACAACAAAAAGAAAACACCCCACTGGCATTTGAACAAAGGTATCTTAGTGTAACTTATGGTAAAATATGCCTAACACTGCTAGAATCGGCAGCTCTACAAGACATCACATTTTTTTTTTTTTTATCAAATGAGGGAATTGGAATTTGAAGCATCTTACTATCCCTTCCCGCCATGCTTCCAGTAAATATTCCTGTGGAATCAAGTCTACTGAATAAAAAGAACCAAACTGAGCAATTCTGATTTTTCATTTCTTTTACAAATTTGAAAGAAACCAAACTCTGTCCTACCCACCCCCAGCCCCATCACTGGACACTCCCTTTCAGGGCATATATAAAACCTCTCGGTAGGTCTGAGCAAGAAGCTACAATGCAGATCCATCATCAAGAAGCTACTTGGATAAGAGAACAAAACACCAGACCAACACTGAGAATAACCTAGTTAGGCATCACAAAAATCACACACTAAGAGTATGCTCTTAACTGCCAAAATTTGGGCTATCATAGCTGTTCGGAAGTTGAAAAATCCATTTACATTAACATAAACTAGATCTCTGTATGTTTGTGTCCATGTGTGTGTATAATTTTCATGCAATGATCTTAAAGCTTTGGCAACAAGGATTATTTGCCTAATTTCAAAGCTTGTCCACAGAACAGTATTAATATGCACCAACTTTGCTAAAGGGCAGGAGAATGAAAAAGACCATGGCACAATTGTTTTTTTTTAAAACAATCTTAGGTTTAATTACATAATGCACCTGTAGGTGTTCTAGCATAAACACAGTTGTAAAAATCTACATCCTATTTTAGGGTATTTTCCCACTTCTCATCCCTTAAAAGCTGTACAGTTATAAAAAATGTGACTCTCAAGCAAAATAAACTTTTTTTTTTTGCAACATACAAAATAAGTTAAACGATTCAGAAGGTCTTGAGCCATTATGCTTCCCAATGACTGTGTTCTGGCTATCCATAAGCATTTGACACGCGGCTCCCGGTCTATGACCAGAACTCAATAAATACAGGTCAAATAAAACCCCAAACACTTAAATTAGATTTCTTTAGAAACTGATGAAAGTTAAGAAAACATATACTTAGGGTTAACAATTCCATTCTTAACTTACATTATCCAGTGGCAAAATGAACAAGGTGGGTCACTCAGTCCTTAGTGCATTTTCTAGCTTGTACCAGTTTGGCAAAAAACCACAAATGTAGTTCCTTTAAAAATGTTTTTCTTATTAAAAATGCCTAAAGAGCATAAGAAATCTCTACACATCTAATAATTTGTTATGCCCTCTCATATAACTTATGCATAGAATAGACATCTTAAAAGTTATTAAAATAAAAACAGCATCTTCACTAAATGAAATCACTACAACTTGCCAGAATTGGGTTTGCAGCATTTCCCAGAGCAAAACGGTATAAATATAAAATGGAAACAAACAGAGCTCACATGACCAAAATAAGGGGAAAAATCCACTAACGGGGTCCTATTCTTACCAATTTCTGAGAGGGTTTATAAATAAAAAAAGTGTTGCGTGTACAATCTGAAGTGGTCATATACCAAGCACATTACATTTTGGCTTTTAACGACTCTTTGCTTGCTTGGGAATAATCCCATCTTCAACACATTACAGTTACTTAGCAATTCCTGGCACTCAAAAAATGTCAAATGATCATTTAAGTTGAAGTGAAAATTTTGAAAACAAAGTACACGTAACACAATAGGCCCAGTTTAAATACACTGATAGAAAAATGCTTTGTCTTTCAGGATGGGTGTAAAAATAAGGAAGAAATCAGCAGTTAGCTTGCTACTTCCAAGGTAGGCTTATAGGTACACACTGGGAATGGTGGCTGAAATAGGAATGGATTTTATTCTAAGTAAGTTTAATAATACATTAAGCAGAGAACCAGGTAGATTACAGCAGTAATCTGCAATTTTGGCATTCTCACTTTTTGAGAGAACTAGGACTGTACTTTTAGAATGTCAAACCAAGAGGACCCTTCACTATTTTTCTCTAGACTTTCTGCAATTAAATGTTTATAATCTCCTATCAGTTACAATATTATCTGATACTTATGTCAATTAATGATTTCAAAGGATTCGTTTTAATCCTAACAGCTAAAGTATGTATACATGTTTATATATACATATGTGTGTGTGTATTCATTCCATCAAAGAACGTATCTATAGCTGTGAGGCAATGCCATGAATCATGGGCCTGCACTGTGTTGCTGAAGGACATAGTTCACCACGTTTTTGTGTATGAAATTTGCAGATTCACTGGTTCCTTCTGGTCGTACGGTAGTACAAACTAGCGAATGGTGAACATCTCACAACCTCATAAAACATAAGCTAAAAAGACAATCTTCATGATAAAAGAAATTCTATCAATCCCACCTAAAAATAGATTAACATTTTCCAATTTTATCTCTAAATAACAATTAAACATCTAAGTGCACATTAAGGGGTGGGTCCTATCAACTGAAAAATTGTAACAAGTTTATAATAGCCTTTTAAAATTAATTTGTTTAAAAAACCTTTTCCAACAACTTCTTCAGCATTTGAAGTCCTTGGTTCTTTGGCAGATCACACTTATAAAACGATATTCAGTAGACATGAATTTATTCTAAATGAAGCTCTTTATTCTCTGAATTTGAAGCCCCGACCAACTGGAAAAAGATGTGTCAAGGAAACCAAATCTCAATCTATCAAGTGTCTTCTTGAAAATATTCCTGCCATCATTCTCTAGTAATGTACCAACAATGGAAACTGTTTTGCACTGAACACTATTTTATCAGCAGAAGTCTGAAAAACCAAACATGTACTTTCAGATTTTTTTCATATAATTTAATTCAAAGCTTCTGCTTCGTGACAATTTAGCTTGTTTTCAAACCTTTACAGAAATTGCAAACTAAATAGTGAGCACTAAACTACATCTCCCCTCAACACATTTACTATACACTGTTGAGTTTTATACCAGGAACCAAAATTGTATTTCAAAAAAGGTTTAAAGTATTAAAGGGCTCTATTACACTACAGCAGCTACTGGGAACCTAAATCCACGGTTAGTTCTCTATTAACAAGGACACAAAGTGTTCTAAACTCTATGTGAATTGCTGCTTTCCTATGCACTTCCAGTTCCTAATGACTGAATTATATTTTTGGAAATAGTATGTTTACTTTTTCCCAATTTAAAAAACTTCTTCAAAGTATGTTCGGAGTTAATATTTCAGTGAACCGATTCTTTCAGGGACTGAATCGAAACATCAGGTAGCAGAGTTGTTTTGAACTGTTCATTTAATCACCCATAATTAATCTACCTGCATGATCATAGTAATTTATAAGTATCAGTTGCTTGACTTACATTTTTGTAAATGAAACATAACTGGTATAATCAGAATGTAAGGATAGAAGGGATATACTCACTATCAACTTCACAAACACTTAATTCAAGTTTGTTAAGTAACAGGCAGCAAAAGTGGTATCATCACCCATATCAATGGGACATTTGCGAAATGGAATACTCAGTCTTCACAATGATAAAAATTACCTTTTGCTCTCTGTAGCAGAAGAATAAAAAGAACTCCTTATTCACATTAGGCATCCTGTAAAAGAAATAATCTACCCACTTAATACTTTTTATCATTTTCTTAACTAAACAGAATAGGTAGAAGCAGGAGCTGGTGTGTCCAGAGGTAGAAACAGGGTACAAGGGAGTTTCCACGCAGTAGTGGCTTTACCAGCTTTAGGACTAAAATAGTGGAGGGAGACTGGACACAGGCCAGGCTACTGGCACATTCTGACCACTTACCTTGCACTAGTAGGAATCCTTCTCTTGCCAGCCTGTTTTAGTTTTGAAAAGCTAACATTCTTTACAGATTTTCAAATAAATGAAAACGAACCTAGCTAGAAAGGAGGCCTGTAAATGAATGTGGCTCCTTACATAGCGCTGTGCTCTACTGTCTATGAATGTAAGCCCTTCCCCTCCCTTCCAGTGGAACATTGTCTCAAAATAAAAATCACAATTTACTTGGAACCACATGCTATTTGTGCACCCTAATTTTAGGCTGCTTTCATTATTTTATTTTTATACAGATACATATACATTGCTAGAATCAAAGCAAAAATATTAATCGGCAGGTACTACAGAACTAAAGTGAAACAAAACAAACAAAAGAACCAATAACTGAAAACAACAGCTATAAACTTTCAAGGCCAATAAGATAAGATTTAAGGGCAACACCTGTTGAGGAAGGAAAAAAAGGAGTATAAAGTTTCTAGAGAGGTATTTATAATGCAAGTCTAATGCCAGCTTTTTAATAATAAAAAAGAGAAGTGCTTTACTATACACTGACTAGCACATACAATGCTTAATTTGGAAAGAAAAATAAATGAAGTTCCTTGGGCCAGCAGCAGATATGGTGTGTCCATTGCCGGCAACAGACAACACTGGAACAGAAAAAACCCAAATCCCAGGGCAAAAGTATTCACAGAAGTAATGGCTGAAGGTTTCAGAATTTGACAGGCAAAATTTAATCACAAGTGCTACACTTTGTACAATGTTATTTATGGCTCTGCCTGAAATTTTACAGCTGTAACAGAAACTAAGACAAAGTTCGCATTTTAGTGTCAATTACATGTTAGATATTTAGTTACAAACCCCTTTTCTTGAAACAAAGGGCTTACTTTTTTTTTTTAAGTTTTGAGATGTTTGAAATGGATGTCATGCCTATTAAAGTACATTGGCGGTTTTCAATCAACTGTTGGTCATGTGACTGTTAATGAATTTTAATAGAAGTCTAATGGCCAAAGGCCAAAACTACATTCAAACCCTGCTAATATATCCAGGCAGATAAGAAATTTCAACACACACACACACACACACACACACACACACACACACACACACACACACACACACGCTAAAACTCAAACTCAAAACCTCCCAAAGGAACTGCTTTGTTTGTAGACTTCAATTTGAAGTAGATACTAAGGGCAAGAATAGACCAGTTAAAATTCACCTGAAAATCCTTTCCCCTTCTTCAAATGTGCTAAAATACCACTGTCAGCCTAATATCTCTTCATGTATGTTATGTATAGATGTATTTGTTTCAAAATGGTATTTCATATATTTAAATAAGTGGCCAGAAGACGTTCCACTATAGGCAAAGTTTACAGTCTACCTGGGCCTTAAAAAAGACCACACTCACGTCACTAATAACTCTCCATGATAGTGTATTAGAGGCCACCTCACCACCATTGCATAAAGCTGTTTTAAAAAAATCTGTTGCTAGCACAATCTGGTTGTCAAAGCTTCATTATACATTTTACTATACAAATGCTTTTCAGATGATTTTTTTTTTTTAAAACAAGATACTCCACTATAACAAACTTAGGTTAGTTTTTCTTAAACGATGGTATTTTCTCGGTCTCTTCTTTATCAAGTGTGGTTATCTCCAATAGTAAACAAGTTGATTTCATGAATGCTGTTACTAAATGACTTACGTTTGATGTTATCTACAATTATCAAACTGCAACAACACAGACTTGACCTTTTAAACAGTCTGTTAATCATCATCTATGCCACAAATGTTTAAATATAATATATATTTAATATGAAAAAGCTAAAGCACAAGTGCTTTCTCCCACCCCTAATTCTGTTTTGGGCCCTTGCAGATTCGGAATGCATTCTTATCCACCCTTTTTCACAAAGTCAGGACAGCTCAGGAAATATAAAGTCAAAAATATACAAATCTTTGTTGTTATTATAATAAGATTTCTTTTCCATGAATGAAATTACCAAGGACCATGAACTTGGAAAAAGAAAGTGAAAAGGAATTTACAGCAATTATTTATCTTGAAAGTTCAAAACTGGTCACTTCACAGAAAGACTTTAGGGTTTGTTGAAATTTTTCTTCTAAAAAGCCATTCTGTAGTGGAGTTTTCTAGGAAAAATAAAACCGCTTTTAATAACTGGCCCGCTGGTGTGAGAGCTACCGTGGAATAAATTAGCACAAAAATGGAAAAAAGTCTTATAACTGTTCACTGTTACAGACATAATCGACAAGGTCAGTCACTCTCAAAAGCTCATCTTCCTCCTCTTCTGGTGCCCCTGCCTCCTGCCCACCACTTGTCCCATTGGGGGCCAGGCTTGCACTCGCCGTGCTGTTGTCCTTAGGGGTCTGAGGCTTCTCAGCTGATTTGCCAATCAAGTTCTCAATGGCTTTGCCAGGACTCTGTCCATTGGTGGAAGGTAAGTCCACTAAGCTATAGTCCAATGGGCTCCCCACCTTGCCTACATTTTCAAAGTCCTCTTCCTCATCACTGTCTATCCGATAGGGCTTCTTGGTACTCTCCTGCTCTGAGGGTAGGACCCTGGGCTGGCTGTCACGAGCAGGCTGACCTGCCTCTCCATGAACATTGTCACAACTCTCCTCTTCGTCTGTCTCAATCCGGTGTAGCCGTTTTCGGGATGGTTTGCCTTCCTCTTCCTCCTCATCTGCTTCTGAGTACTCATCTGTGCTTCGACCCCGTTTTCGAACTGACTGCTTTGAGTCTTTAGTTAGCTCCTCATCTTCAGAGTTCTTAGACATATAGCTCTCTAAAACAAACAGCACATTTAACCATAAACAAATTTCAGTAATTCTCCTTTCCCTCCCCACATTCACATGTCTGCTTTCAGCCTTGCCTGTATACACATACTTCCCTTCAATAATTGGCTTGATTTTTCTTTCCCATAGTCTCATAACAGTGCCCATTATGATTCATGATATACCTATGACTTTAGAAAGAGCAGAATGAAATGTCATGGAGAAATCTTGACTAATGCAGGACATCTAAAACACTGTGCTCTCACCCCATGTTGTTACATGTCCTTGCTAGTCCTTACATATTCTCTTGCCTATACTTACAACTAGGTGATCTCACCTAGTCTCTCATGACGTGGCATAACATCTATATGCTGGTACTTCTCACATTTGTTTTAGGTAACCCCTAAATTCCAGACTCGTGTAACAAATTGCTTACTTGAGATCTATGATTGAATTCCTAAACAGATACCTCAAACCCAATGTGTTACTGGAGCTCCTGAACCCCCATCTCAAACTTGTGCTGTTCTGGTTTCCACCATTTTAGTTACTGGCAACTCTATTCTTCCAATCGCTCAGTCATCCTTGACTCTTCTCCTTCTCCCATCTAACCCAACAGACAGTAAATCGTTTGGGTCTACCTTCCAAGTACCCTATGATTTGACTTTTTCATCCCTTTACTGCTAATGCACTAGTCTTCCTACCTGACATCATCTCTCACCTGGTCTACTTCAGTGGCCTCCCACCTGACCTCCTAGATTCAGACCTTGCTCCTTTCAACTTGTGTGTACCACAGCTACCATACACAAAAACCTAAGTCAGATTATATCACTCCTTTGCTCAAAACCCTCCAATTATTTCTCATCTCACACCGAATAAAACCCAAAGTCTATATACAATGGCCTACTGCACTACCCAATAATGGTAGCCAGTAATCACATGTGGCTATTTTAAACTTAAATTAACTAAAATTAGATAAAAACAAAAAATTCAGTCCATCGGTTACACTGGCCACCTTTCAAGTGCAACAGTCATAGAATACCAATGGCTACTATTTTGAACAGCACAGATGCAGAACGTTTCCATCATTGCAAAAAGCTCGGCTGAATAGCACCAGCACCCATTAGGGGTTGGGCAAAATATTTTTGTAAAGAGCAGTCTCTATTACAACTACTCAACTTTGTGGGAAAGCAGTACAGATTATATGTAAGAACACGGACATGGAACTACGTTACATGTAACTCAATTTACAAAATCTTTATTTACACAAACAAGTGGGCTGTAGTTTGCTGCTACTTTTTTATATGATCTGGGCCCTGTTATCTCCCTGCATCATCTTATAGTTTTCTTCCCCTCACACTTTCTCCTACGATCTGGTCTCCTTTCTATTCTCCAAACGTGCCAGGTACAAATTTGACTCAAGACCTTCATGTTGTGGCTTTATCTGCCTATATTACTCTTTTAGTTATCTGCATGACACCCCCCCCCCACATTCCCTTCAGGTCTTTACTCAAATGTCTTCTTAGTGAGATATTCCAGTAGTATCCAATCTGAGATTCCAACTACTCTCCCAACCCAACGATCTCCCCCCTTTTTTTCCTACAGCATTTATCTCCACCTAATATATCATATATTCTGGTTACTTGTTTGTTGTCTTTCTCCCCCCTAAGAGTTACATGGGGGAATTACATGTTCATGGCTCTTTTCTCCACTCCCAGTGCCTAGAAAAGTGAACAGTTCAACAAGCATTTGTTTTTAATAGTTGAACTAATGAATTTGTTTGTTTTTAATGACACACAAAGATAACATACACTCAACCAGATGTTCACCTTCCTTCTTTGGCCGTCCCTCTCCAACACCCCCCCCCACCAATGGCATAGGCTCAAATCGACAAAGATCTATGAAAGCAAATCTTTAAAACATAAACAATGGAGAATTACATACACAAAAGAAAAAAAAAAGGTGAAGATTAGAATCATTTTAAATGAACTTGGGAAGAGTTCTGGAACAATGACAAAGACTAAACAGACACCCCAAACTCCTATTTTCGAGCTTTTCCTAAACTTCTAGTAAGGGATGCAGCTACAGCTGTTAAGAAACGAAATAGCTGCTTACTCTCAAGGTGAAAAGAAACAGTTACAATTTCAGCTTTTCAGGTCATCAAATTGAAGGAAATTATTTCAAAATGAGGGCCATAAGTAGTATGGGAGCAGAAAAAATCTTGCTCAGGTTTCAATTTTCTGAGGCTTTTCTAGTTTCAATGAAAATTTTAATTATTACAATGGAGACCTTAAAAATTTTCATTTATAAATTATAAAGTATCATTTACTTAAAGTACAATAGTGACCAGGCAATAAAATAATAGGTTTTGTCTCAGAAATATTAGTGGTTATTCTGAATTTCTTAGAAATGGTATAAAGTCACAATCCTCTTACTTTACTAACTTCTACTTCTGCCTTTTTCGAACTTTGGTAAGTTGGAAATCTATTCCTTACCTTCACTGTCTGAGCTGGAAAGCCTACGCTTGTGAACCCGTCGGATTTCTTTACCACGTCGTAAACTCTTCTGGGAGCCGTCACTCTCTGAATCTTCTTTGTAGTTAATTTGTCTTTTCTGGTTCCTCCTTGACCGCCTTCGCCGAGTTTCTACATAATCATCACTCAAGTCATCACTAAAATCACTTTCTATCAGAAAAAAGGAGTGAAAAGAAGTCATGTGCAAAATTTAAGTCCATTAATAGAAATGTTAAGGAAGTGTAAAGCTACTGAGCAGAGTTCATTCATAACAATTTTTAAGTGAATAGTAACTCTTAAGTCCCTTATTTTCTTTTTAATAATCAGTAAATCTTTAGGGCTTTTATGCCAACCTTCACAAATGTGTCTTATCAGCAATCAGCCCCCAAGATGAAAAGCTGTTTTATAAAGCCCTTAACTCATTCAGCTGAGAGCTGCTGCCCAGTCAGCCGCACAGCGGCCGCAACTGCTCTTCCCGCCTCACGATAACCAGCTAACCCTATGTGTGAGGCTGCACAGCCACCGTTCCAGCTTCACAATGGGCCACAGAGGTTCAGCTCCCTAACCAGAGAAAGAGTAAGGAGCCTGTCTCAAAGAAGTACAAAATCGGAGTTACATTTTTGGCTTTTTCCACGAGGAATTAAAATATGCTAAATACACAGGGCTAAAGCCTCAAAGCATTGCTAAATACTACTCTTCTTGTCACCTCTGATCAATAAGTCGGAGTCTGACAATGGCGCTGTGCAAACAGTTTTTTAGGAGTGCTAACAAACTACTGAATTATCACATCCACCCTGGTTCTCTAATGGACTTCAAACACTTCAGAATGGCTAGCTAACAGTTTGAAGATGTTCCCATTATCCAAATCTGGGACAAACTAAGCCTAACTAGTAATGGTAACATGTTATATCCACAGACTAAAATAAGAATCCACAAGTACATTCTGATATAAAGAAAATAAATATATAGGGGAAATGGGAAAATACTTCCTCCTATATATTTATATAGAATACAAATAATAAACATAAAAGGATAATGAAATTAGAAATTATCAACAAATGTTAAAACAGTAGGTGGCTCGGTGGCTTGGAGGACCGCCCTGTGCACTGAAAGGTGGCGGGCCCGGTCCCTGGTCAGGGTATGTGTGGGAGGTAGGTGCTGGGTGTTTCTCCTGTCCCGCGGCCCCCACCCCTCTCGATCTCCCCTTCCTTCCTCCCTCCCTCCCTCTTTAAAATCAAACATATCCTTGGGTGAGGAATTAAAAAAAAAAAAAAAAAACAACCTATTGGGCGAAACATCTGTTAAGGAACAGGAGATTTACATTATCTCAAATTATCTTCCTACAATTTACTTATTAATTACAAAGGAAAAAATAAGAGTCCTGGAGTATATGTATTAGCTCTGTAATATTCCTGCCAAAATGTATGATCTGAATCTAATCACAAAGAAACAGAAAACCCAAATTGAGAGACATTTTATAAAACAACTAATGTGTGTTCTTCAAAAATGTCAAGGACAATGAAGACAAAGTTTGAAGAATATTCCAGATTAAAGGATACTTAAAGAGAAATGAATGAGTAAAATATGTATTCTTGGACTGGATCCTAGACTAAGGAAAAATATTGAAATAAAGGACAGTATTGAGACACCTGATGAAACCTGAATATGTACTATTATAATAGTATTACACCAATTTAAGTTTTGATAACTGGACTGTGGTTATATAAGAAAATGTCCAGGCCCTGGCTGGTGTAGCTCAGTGGATTGAGTTCAGGCCTGCGAACCAAAGGATTGCGGTTCGATTCCCAGTCAGGGCACGTGCCTGGGTTGCAGGCCAGTTCCCAGCAGGGAACACATGAGAGGCAACCATACATTGGTATTTCTCTCCCTCTCTCCTTCCCTTCCCCTCTAAAGATAAATAAATAAATCTTAAAAAAAGAGAATGTCCTGTTCATAGGAAATAATCACTGATAAAAGGGTATGATGTTTTCCATTTACCAAAAAAGTTCGGAAAAAAAGATTAACAAAATAAAAGCTCCTTAAGCCTAGCAAGAGTCAAAGACGTAACACTCCTGCCTGTGCCACTTCCTCAGTAACATGAGAGCCACCTACCTGCCAACTCCACAGAGCACTAATGTCTGTTCTTCTGGTTACTGTCCCCCAATTTATCATTAATAATGATAAGCATATGCCATAACATTAATAAATGCTAATTCATAAAAATTAATGAGTCACCGACTGTGATCTAAACATTAGAGATAATTGATGATTCTTCTCTCAGATCAATAGCTAGACATCTGAGAAAAATGTTCTCCACTTATGATAATTACCCCCAAGAAACACTATGAAGATAAGTCTAGGTATGAAAACATTTGGCACTAAAAAGATCATCACAATCCTAAAGTGAATTTAGTATGAAGTTAACCTATCCATCCATACGTATTTTCTTAGAATGTATTTTATGCAAAAATTTTAGTTACTGCTGAATCATAATAGAATTCAGTTTTACCAGAAGGCTTATGCTATAACTGAATGGAATTTTACGAACTCTTAGTTCCTGAAATCACAAGAGTTTATTAAGGTGGTGTGATGTAGATACAAATTATTTTTACCAGAATCTCTACTATTCTCCTCAGACTCCTCCTCCTCATCGTCATCAGAATACTTTTTCTTTGGGGTTTTTCTCCGCAATCGCCTGCTTTGCCTCATTGGCCGGGAGGGATGTCGCCTCAGTCTTCGGCTACAGAAGTCAGCGTCACTGTCATCATTAGATGGCGGGTCTTCTTCACTTTCATCTGGATTTTCATCAGATACAACAAACTCATCTTGAGAGCTGTCCAAGAGAAAGCAGATGAATCAGGATGGCACACTTAAAACTGTGAACCCATTTTTGAGAGTTCTGAGTTTAAGTTCTAACAAGTCCAGTGAATCATTAAATACTGTTTAATGTAGTATCTGAATAATGGTATCAACTTTCCTAACATGAAGAAATTATTTGCTACCTCTCATTTTCTTAGGAAGCGTTATATAAAGATGAATTGACGATGACTTTATATATAAATTGCTTGAGCTTTTGAGATGTTCCTCGTGTACCTTAAATCCACATGTCCAAAGGTAAACTCAGTATTTCCTAACTTACCTTGCACTTCAGTTCCCTAGCCTGGTACTGGAACCTATCACCCATCCAGAAACTCAAATCAAAAATCTGGTATTTATCTTAATTTCCCCCTTTTCATTTCTCACATCTAATCATTTATTAATTCCTCCAGTGCACCCCTTAAACTTAGTATCTAAAGTCATCTCCTACCTGAACTATTCTCACCTGAACTATAGCAGTGCTCCAAGTAGTCTCTCACCTCTAAATCATTTCCTTTCAGTGTATCCTCCAAATAAATACCAGGATGAAGGTTTCTGAAATGTCAACCTCATTATTATTCTAGTGTTTAAAACCCTTCAATGGGTTTTCATCACCTTTAGGCTGGAGTACAAATTCCTGTGCACGACATACAAAAGACTCCATCATCTGTGTCCTCTTTATGTCTTGGTCACATTTCCTGCAGGGCACTCTCTACTTCTTTCCCGTATTTTGCTACATCGGGAGTTTCCCAACTATTACACGGTGGTTTATGCCTTAACCTATGTAAGTCTCAGGAACTTCTTTCCTCATCCTGCTTCTAATTCCAAACTTGTCAATCCAGCCAATTATTCATTCTTCAAATTTCATCGAACTGTATATTTCCACTCTGACCTCCCTGGATCAATCTGACTCTCTTCTGTACCCTAACTATGCCTTAACTGTATTTCAGTAGCAATCACACGAAGTGACTTTTTTGTGGTATAAAAGTTTGTCTTCCACTGGCAATCTGAGGACAACTCTGGATTATTGTTTCAATGGCTACTCCACAGAGAAAACTTTCCTGATACTCCGCAGTAAATCGCTTACCTCAGCTCGAACCTCTGAGGGTCACCAGAGAACAGTATCTAATTATTTGTACTTGCCTATTTCTCATATTTAACTGGCAACCTCTCATGAATACGCTGGCAGAAGGTGGCACAGAGGTACATAAAAAATGAATGCTCAATTGCAGCTAATGCATTTTGAATATTAAACAAACAACCATAAAACTACTTTAACCTAAAAAAGAACCAAGATAAGCATTCTGAAATCTGCTTTAAATATCCTGAAAATAAGAAGAGACTGTCTAAGTGTGTGAAAAACAAAAGCCCCATCAGAGCACAGCCAGCTTCTGTGCTAGCACTGTGGAAACCTGTAACTAAGGGACTGAGGTCTACCGGCAGACCACGTACCCATCGCTGATCTTGAATTCATCCTCACTCTCTTCTTCATCCAGGTTGCTGTCACTGTCCAGATCATTTAATCGCCGGCGTTTCTTCCGGCGAGCAGCTGCAGCCCTCTGGGGTCGTTTATTTTCTTTTCTTTCTTCATCCAGGATAGTAGAGATGTCTTTCCCACGGTGACCCGTGATGGTAGAGATATCTTTTCCCCGACCAACTCCTAAATTCAGGGGTTGAGGGTTAAAGGAAAGAGAGGAAATAAGAAAGACATGCAACTATATGTTTACTAAAAGCTTCCCTTTAATATCTGCAGACTATTCTTTCTTTAAAAATTTTTAAAAAGATTTTCTTTATCTCTTTTTAGACAGAGGGGAAGGGAGGGAGAAAGAGAGAAAGATAAACATCAATGTGTAGTTGCCTCTCACGCATCCCCCACTGGGGACCTGGCCCACAACCCAGGCATGTGCCCTGACTGGGAATCAAACCAGCAACCTTTTGGTTTGCAGGCCAGATTGAGATGCTCTGAGCCACACCAGCCAGGGCCAGGCTGTTCCTATTTGTGCTTAGCGGCTCTTTATTTGATTTTCTTCCTACAAGCATGCAGTTTTTTCATGACTGCAGCTGATAGAGCTCTTATCAAGAGAGTTTTGGCATTCATTTGTCCTACTAAATGGAAGTTCACCTTCTATAGAACATTTTTTTGTTTTACATTTTGATGTAATTCATACGTCATAATATTCACCCTTTTTTAAGTGTATAACTCAGGGTATTTTAGTATAGTCACAAAATTCTGCAACAATCACAACTAATTTCAAAACACTTTCATGACCTAAAAAATAAACCTCATACCTATTAGCAGTAACTCAAGAAATCTCTTCTTGAAAGTTGTCTTTTAGACATGGCTTTAGAAAGAAGCCAATCCATGTTTTGAAAAACAAACAAAAAGAACCTATGTTTGCAGGACTGAAATAGTGAGAATTCAGCAGCAAAGATATAAGAAAGGCACACCTGTCTGAAAAAGCTAGTGACCTCTTCAGTTCCACTACTAAAGGCCTACTTACTGTAAATGCTTCCCAGAGTTCTCATAATAACCAAATGGACACCACAGTGCTCCCCACTGCAGTACTGGTAACTGTATATAGCTCTTAAATTACCTTCAAATAATTCTCTATTAATGCCATGTATTAAAAAGTATGAAAACTAATTTTTAAAAAGTCAATTTATAGAAATCATGCAGAGTCCAATTATCCATAATTTTTGATACATTATAGCAGTACTGATCCAAAAAATAGAAAAATAGCCAAGTTTCACTGGGTTTTCTATTTGGAAGCAGAAGTAAAATTTTTATGTACTGCGGAGCATTTCTATTTTAAATCAGGTAATAAAACCAAATTCTTTTAAAGTAATTAGTAAGATCTGAGTCTACATACTTGACACTGTCCACACATTATTTTGAATCTCAGACTGTTACCATCAGCAGTGATCATGACAAACAACGGGGAGAAAAAAAAAACCCACTGCTCTAATCAGGGCATTTGAGTTATTTTAGGGACCGAAAGAGAATGATAAACACATACCTCCTCCATCAGCCTCTTTGATATCATCTTCTATAGCTTCATCGATTGCTTCATCAAACTCATCAAATCTAAAATATAGACAACAATCACATTACAACCTGTCCTGGCACAAGGGTCAGGAGTGTTGCCTCCGGAGTGAAAACTGTCAGAATGTGAAACTCACTGCTCTCTTCCACCCTGGGATGGTGTGACTTGGACTATATCCCCTCGCTCATATTAGCCTCCATTTCTTTTGTAAAATAGCACCTAATAAATAAATAGTTTTTTATTTGCAAAGATCATCTATACCAGGCATCAGTAAATATTTTTGTAAAAGGCCAGAGAGTAAATCTGCCAGGTACTGTAGACCATACAGTCACTGCTATAACTGACCGAGGCAGCCACTGCGGTACAAAAGGAGTCACAGACAATACAAGGAAATGAGCGTAGCTGTGGTCTAAGACTTACAGACATAGGTTTGAATTTCATGTTATTTTCATAGAATTTTCTTATTTTGGTTCTTTTTTCAACCTTTTATAAATGTAAAAACCACTTACAAGTCACAGGTTATATTAAAACTGACAGTGACTGGATTCGGCCCATAGGCCATAGTTTGCCATTCCCTAGTTACACAAATCACATGGTAAAGTAAGATAACAAAACTGGTGTCCCAAAAATAATACTAAGTATGAAGGTTATGTAAAATTCTTACAGATGGTAAGAATTTTAGAACTAAGTAAATGTACTTTATCTCATAAGGGCTGTTCACCTCAACTTAAAGGATAAAAACTAAATGATTTCTCAGACTTTATCATTTACAAAATTCCTTTCACTTTAGAACTGAGGCAGCCACAAAGATAAAGTGACTTGCCTAAAACTATGGTAAATACAGTAATTACTACCCATATTTCACTCTTTATATGTAGTTAATTAAAATAAAAATTCAATTCTGGATTTCCACTGAGGATGGAGGCATAGGTAGACACACTGTGCTTCCCCGCACAACCAAAAGGACAACAACAACTTAAGAACAAAAAAAACAACCAGAACTGACAAAATCGAACTGTATGAAAGTCCGACAACCAAGGAGTTAAAGAAGACACATTCATCCGGACCATTAGGAGGGCGGGAACAGGCAGCGGGGAGAAGAGGACTCAAGGCAAGGCGGGAGCTAGCAGACCGGGGTGCGCCAGGTGGCAGACTGGGGAACGGGGTGTGAAAGGCAGCAGCTGATGGAGCCAGCGGTCCCAACTTCATGCACAGATACACAGGGAGAAATTATTGGGGAGCAAGACAGACCGCTCGGTCCAGAGCCCCAGCTCAGGGAAATAAAGCCTCAAACGACTCACTGAAAACACCTGTGGGAGTTGAGGCAGAGGGAGAAACTCCCAGCCTCACAGGCGAGTTCATCAGAAAGACCCACAGGGTCCTAGAATGTACACAAGCCGACCCACATGAGAATCGTGCCCAGTCTGTTGTAGGCAGTGGGGGAAGTGACTGAAATCCAGCAGAGAGCAGAGCAAACACCATTGTTCCCTCTTGGACCCCTGCCCTACATACAACGTCACGTAGCAGTGACATATATTGCCCCACCCTGGGCAACACCTAAGGCTCCGCCCCTAACTACGTAACAGGTACATCAAGACAAAAAAAAAAAAGGCCCAAATGAAAGAACAGATCAAAGCTCCAGAAAATATACAACTAAATGACAAAGAAATGGCCAACCTATCAGATATATAGTTCAAAACATGGTGATCAGGATGCCTAGAGAACAGGATGAATTTGTTAGCAAATTAGAGAAAAAAATGAAGGCTACACTAAGTGAAATAAAGGAAAATATACAGGGAACGAACAATGACAAGAAGAGAACTCAAATCAACGGTGTGGACCAGAATGAAGAAACATTCAACCACAAGGAAATGAAGAAACAAGAATTCAGAAAAATAAGGACAGGCTTAGGAACCTCCAGGACATCTTTAAATGTTTCAACATCCAGATTATAGGGATACCAGAAAGAGAAGAGGAAGAGCAACAAGTGGAAAAGTTACTTGAACAAATAATAAAGGAGAACTTCCCCAATCTGGCAAAGGCAATAGACTTCCAGGAAGTCCAGAAAACTTAGAGAGTGCCAAAGAAGTTGGACCCAAGGAGGAACACACCAAGACACATCATAATTACATTACCCAAGACTAAAATGAAGGAGAGAATCCTAGAAGCAGCAAGAGAAAAGGGGACAGTTACCTAAAAGGAGTTCTCCTAAGGCTGTCAGCTGATTTCCCAAAAGAGACCTCATAGGGAAGAAGGAGCTGGAAAGAAGTATTCCAAGTCATGAAAGGCAAGGACCTACATCTAAGATTGCTCTGTCTAGCAAAGCTTTCATTTAGAATAGCCAGATAAAGTGCTTCCCTGATAAGGTTAAGTTAAAGGAGTTCATCATCACCAAGCTCTTATTTTATGAAATGTTAAAGGGACAGTTTGTCTAAAAAAAGAAGATAAAAAACATGTAGAGTAAAATGACAGCAAACTCACAATTATTAACAACCACACCTAAAACAAAACCAAAAACAAACTAAGCAAACTATACCAGGAACAGAACCACAGAAATGGAGATCACATGGAGGGTTAGCAACAGGAGTGGGAGGAAGAGAGAGGGGAAAAGGTACAGAGAATAAATAACATAGATGGTAGGCAGAAAATAGAGAGGGGGAGGGCAAGAGTAGTGTGGGAAATGCAGAAGCTAAAGCACTTATGACACAGGGACATGAACTAAAGTGGGGGAATGTAGGTGGGAGGGGGTGTGCAGGGTATAGGGGAGTGAAGGGGGAAATGGAACAACTGTAATAACATAATAAAATAGAAGTAAAATAAAAAATAAAAGGAAAGAAAGTAAAAAGATAAAACAAACAAAAAAACAAAAACCCACATGAAAAGCCAACAAGTGTTGACAAAGGTGTGTAGAACCTGGAAACCCTGTATATTACTGGTGGGAATGTAGGATGGTACAGCTGCCATGGAAAACAGCATGGAAATTCCTCAACAAAACAAAATGAAACAAACAAACAACACTACCATATGATCCAGTAATCCCATTTCTGGGTATACAGCCAAGAGGAAATGCTAATAAAACAAATGTCTCTCTCTTTTTAAAAAGATTTTATTTATTTATTTTTAGAGAGGGGGAAGGGAGGGAGAAAAAGGAAAGAAACATTAATGTGTGGTTGCCTCTTGCATGTTCCCTACTGGGGACCTGGCCTGCAACCCAGGCATGTGTCCCAACTAAGAATCAGACCAGTGACTTTAAGTTCTCAGGATGCCACTCAATCCATTAAGCCACAACAACCGTGGCCAAATCTGTTTCTTTTAACAACCACAATATTACATCAGGATTGACAGTCAATACAATTCTGATATAATGCTTGTTCTGAAAATGTAAATTTGTTCCAATGTGACTGATATAATACAAAATAATTCAAATATAACATGTAATTCGTCCTTGCTTATGAGTAATTTCATTTGTAAGAAACACTAGGTTAACATAAAAATCGGTACCTAACTGATTAGGAACACACCAAACACACACCGTAAACATCTATCAGTTACCTCAGCTTATCATGAGCCATGGAAGTTACAGCCACTTGCTTTTGGAGTTCTGGATGATTTCAAATAACAGTTGTCTACCACTACCCATAATTTACAAACAGCATCTCTCCTCACTTCCATAGACAAACTTCAAGGCTTTTTTTCAAACAAAAATATATCACATACAAGCCCTGGCTGGTGTAGCTCAGTGGATTGAGTGTGGGCCTACGAACCACACGATCACAGTTCGATTCCTAGTCAGGGCACATGCCTGGGTTGCAGGCCTGTTCCCAGCAGGGGGCTCACGAGAGGTAACCATACATTAATATTTCTCTCCTTCTCTCCTTCCTTTCCTCTCTAAAGATAAATAAATAAAATCTAAAAACAAACAAACAACAACAAAAAAAACAGTAGTCTTCAAACTGGCACAAACCTTTAAAAAAAGTCACATGAAGTGTTTATATTATTTCTTAACCATTTATCATGTGTCAAATGATACTGATTTTTATTACATTCCTATCATCCTCTTAAATGTGTCACTAATGAAGTTTTTGAGTGTGTGGTCATATTTACCATAATCCCTATGGATTTTATTGTGTGATTTTACACAGCATGGATATTTTTATAAATGTATGTATTCTTATAGCAGGACTGACTTTACACTCATATGTTTTATCAGTAGGCTACAGCTTCATCGGTTATAAGTACTTTTAATTTTTCAAAAATTTTTAAAGTAAAGAATTAAGAGGGACCCTGCTCCAATATATATTACAGATTTCCTTCTTACTGGTTCTACTGCATTGTATAAAGTTTTAATAATAACAACAGCAGCAAACTGTATACAGAGAGCTCTTCCATGGCCACTGATTAAAGTTTATAAACAAGCAAGTTCAAAGTTCTTTATTTTAAGAAATAAAGAACTAACATTTTATTAACTGACTTTGTTATTCAAGTTAAGAGACTGTTTTGGTGTTGTCTATATAAACCAGAGGTCAAATAAAAGGTGTTTTTTTTTCTTTTAAAGATTTTATGTATTTTTAGATGGGAATATTTATTATATTTCAGATGGCAAATATTGAAATAAAATATTTTTATTTATTTATAAAGATGGGAAGAGAGGGAGAGAGACAAAGAGAAACATCAATGTGTGAGACAAACACTGATTAGCTGCCTCTCTCACGTCTCCAACCAGGGGACCTGGCCTACAACCCAGGCATGTGCCCTGACCAGCAATTGAACCCGTGACCTTTCAGTTTGCAAGCTGGTACTCAATCCAGTGAACCACACCAACCAGAGCCAATAAAAGGTCTTAAATAAGGGAGGTTTAGTGGAATTATACTAGACTAGTCAACAATCAGAAGATAAGGTTTTAGTCTAGGTTTAGCTACTAAAAGCATGACTGTGCAAAAATACCTGTCTCTCTGTCCCTCCACCTCCCCCTCCCTCCCTTTCTGGTGCAAGACTGTAAACCAGATTATAGTTTTTCATTCAATTATTGATTCTTTCAATAGGCATTTATAGAACACTTACTATTTGTCAGTACTATGTTCACTGTAAAATATAAGGATGTATAGAACAGATATAGTCCTTAGTTTCAAGTTACAAGTCTAGTAGAAGTTTTAATTAAATAATTAAAAACATAATAACTGCAATTATGCTAAGTGATTTCAAGGACAACTTGTTGCTAAGAGACATATAATAGAGGGAGTTGATCAAGAGAATGAGTAAAAATGGGAGGGAAATTCTAGGCAGAGAAAACAGTATGTGCAAAGGGACTGAAAGAAGACAATGTCGCTAATGCTGAGTAAGGGAAAATGGGGAAAAGCCAACCACAGAGCAGAGTACACAGTGTTTCATGTGTCTTGTTAAAGGCATCAATCCTTATACCAAGTGCTACAGAAATCTGGGAAAGTATGTTATCCAGTGAAGGAGGACATGAGCGAAGTAGCATTTGGAAAAGAGCATTCATGCTTGTTGCTCTCAAATTCTGGTTCTAAAGACAGGAGGTAAGAAATATATATAAAACCACTATATATAATGATCACTATGATGGAAAAGCATATAATGGTTGTGTATTAATTAAAAAAACACTTTATACTTTCATTGTAACTATTTCCACATACTTCATACCTGTAACTTATACATTTTCGTGTTCTTGTTGATCTTCTTTCAAGCAAGTTTGCTTTGGACTTTTTTGAATCTTTTTTCTTTTCTTCATGATCTTCAGAAAAATCTGGCTCCTGATTTTAAAATATGATAATTAATACATGTTATTACTCAGGACAGAAAATAATTCCTTGGAATTAATACTTTCTATTGTCCTTCTAGGCAGCATATGTGAAAGACATGAAAAAGATGATCCCCACCAACTGAATAAACATGGCAACACTATGTATAGATTAAAAAATATCGATGCTCCAAACACTTCTATATTAAAATTGTTAGGTTTTTGTGAGTTTATAATGACCTCTTTTATCTAACTACAATATTCAAAAGGAGTCCACTCTTCATCTTGTGTTGAGAGTTCATGGTGGTGCTAAGAAAAGGAAAAAGTCTTACAGCACTCCCAAGAAGAATCAGCATAAGAGAAAGAAGGTTAAGCTGGCTGTCCTGAAATACTACAAAGTGGATGAGAATGGCAAAATCAGTCGCCTTCGTCAGGAGTGCCCTTTAGATGAATGTGGTGTTTTTATGGCCAGCACTTTGACAGACATTATTGTGGCAAATGTTGTCTGTTCTATTGCTTCAACAAACCAGAAGACAAGTAATTGTATATGGGTTAATAAAAGACATGAAATAAAAACAAAAACTTCAATACATAAGCTGAAGAAATGAAATAATGGATTTAGAAAAGGGCGTGATGCTGGGACTTCCAGCCAAGATGGAGGCATAGGTGGAAACTCTGTACCTCCTCACACAACGAAATTTAAAAACAACAAAGATTTAGAAACAAAAACACAACCAAAACGACAGAAAATTGAACTGTACCGAAGTCCGACAGCAACTAACCATTCAGCCAGACCGTTAAGAAGGGTGGAGACCACGGCCAGCGAAAGGGGTCCCGGCAGGGAAAGGTGATGGTTAGTGGACCCGGGCACAGGGAGGAAACAAGCAAACCCAGTAAGGCGTACAAGGCAACTGGCTGACCGGGGACACACATTCACACGCAGATAAACAAGGCAAAAAACAGGCACTGAGACAGACCGCATAATCCAGGGCCCCGGTGACGGGAAACAAAGCCTAAAAGCATGGATTAAAAAAACCTTGGGGGGTTGAGGTGCCAGGAGAGGCTCCCACTCTCACAGGAGAGTTCGTTGGAGAGACCCACAGGGTCCTAGAATGTATACAAGCCCACACACCCAGAAACCAGCACTAGAAGGGCCCAGTTTGCTTGTGGGAAGAGGCAGAGGGGACGGAAATCTGAGAGAGAGCGGAACAAGCGCCACTGCTCCCTCTCTGACGCTGCCCCCACATACAGTGTCACAATCCAGCAACTGGGTTGCCCTGCCCTGGTAAGCACCTAAGGCTCCACCCCTCATACATAAGAGGTGTGAGAAGACAAAAAAAAAAAAAAAAAGGCCCAAACAAAAGAACAGATCAAAGCTCAACAGCAAATACAACTAAGCAAGGGAGACATAGCCAACCTATCAGATGCACAATTCAAAAAACTGGTGATCAGGATGCTCATACAACTGGTTGATTTTGGTCACAAATTAGATGAAAAAAATGAAGGCTACACTAAATGAAATGAAGAAAAATGCACAGGGCACCAATAGTGATGGAAAGAAAATGGGGACTCAAATCAATGGAGTGGACAAGAAGGAAGAAGCTATCAACCAAACACAAAAGAAGGAAGCAACAAGAATTCAAAAAAATGAGGAGAGGCTTAGAATCCTCCAGGATATCTTTAAACGTTCCAACATCTGAATTATAGGGGTACCAGAAGGGGAAGAGTAAGAGCAACAAGTGGAAAACTTATCTGAACAAATAATAAAGAAGAACTTCCCCAACCTGGCAAAGGAAACAGACTTTCGGAAGGCCCAGGAAGCTCAGAGTCCCAAAGAAGTTGGACCCAAGGAGGAACACACCAAGGAACATCATCATTATATTACCCAAGACTAAAATGAAGGAGAGAATCCTAGAAGCAGCAAGAGATTAAGAGGACAGTCACCTACAAAGGACTTCCCATCACACTGTCAGCTGACTTCTCAAAAGAGACCTTACAGGCAAGAAGGGGCTGGAAAGTATTCCAAGTCATGAAATCCAAAGACCTACATCCAAGATTGCTCTATCCAGCAAAGCTTTCATTCAGAATGGAAGGGCAGATAAAGTGCTTCCCTGATAAAGTTAAGTTAAAGGAATTCATCACCAAGCCCTTATTATATGAAATGTTAAAGGGACTTATCTAAGAAAAAGAAAATAAAAAACATGTACAATAAAATGACAGCAAACTCACAGTTATCAACAACCGCACCTAAAACAAAAGCAAAAGCAAACTAAGCAAACAACTACAACAGGAACAGAACTACAGAAATAGAGATCACATGGAGGGCTAGCAACAGGGGAGTGGGAGGAGGAGAAGGGGGGGAAGGTACAGAGAATAAGTAGCATAGATGATGGGGAGAAAATAGGGGGAGGGCAAGAGTAGTGTGGGAAATGCAGAAGCTAAAGAATTTATGACACATGGACATGAACTAAAGAGGGGGAATGTGGGTGGGAGAGGGTATGCAGGGTGGAGGGGAATGAAAGGGGGAAATGGGACAACTGTAATGGCATAATCAATAAAATATATTTAAAAAAATAGAAAAGTGCATGATGCTGAAGTAATAGAACTCACCAAGACAAGCGTGCAATTTAATTAAAACTGAATGAAACTGTGTATGGAACTAAGAAAATTTCTTCATTTCAAATAAAATCCACATTACATGCACTTTCACTCATGAATACTTCTTAATTATACATTAGGCTAATAAGTGAAAAACAAGGAAAACTCTTCAAAAACGCCAAAATGTATGAACACCAATAGAAGGTTCTGATAACCACAAAACAATAGAATTAAAAATCAGATCTCCCTGAACCATTTATTTTGACACTTAGCATAAACAGCAGATAAAGAAGCTAAAAAAAAATGTATCCAACTTAGGATTAAAATTAAACCCCACCAAACTCCACACAGGTGAGCTATAAATTTGGTTTGAATATAATATTACGTTTTGGAGCTATACCTGCATGTACATAATTTTAATCATGAGGGCTTATGAGTGATTTCTTTAAGGTCCTTAAATTTCATTTTTAATAAAATAGGTATACTATTTATTTAAAACTATTCACATCATATAAAGTGTAATAAATTTTAGAACAATTATGGCAATCTCATCTTTTTACTATAAATGAGAAACTTACTTGCGGAGGAATGATGTTTTCGATACTGATACCCACATACACCAAGCGTTCTTTCCTTTAAAAAAGTGAAAAACAAGTAGACAAACAAAATGAGATTTGTTAAAAATAAAACTTATGGAAACAATACAACACAGAGAATACTAACATTATGATTTTATGGTAACAGCAGAGGCTATGTTATCTGTAAAACTTAATAGTACTGGTATCTGTGGGAGGCACAAAACTTCTTAAAGGATGAAAATTCTAGCTTTTAGAAGTGACCTACACAGAGGCAATGGGGTGGGAGGTTCAGTAGAAAAGGGGAAGGGGATTCAGAAGCACAAACTCACAGTTATGGAACAAGTCAGGGGGTGTACAGCATAGGGAAGAGAGTCTATAACATTGTCATAATTATGTATGCTGACTGATGGTTATTACATTTATTTTAGACACCATAGTGATCACTTTGTAAGGTATATAAATGTTGAATCACTATCTTGTACACCTGAAACTAATATATTTTATGTCAACCACAGTTAAAAGCAACTATTTTAGAAAAAGTGAAATAAAACCTGTAACTGAAATAGACAATGAAACCTCATGAAGAGTCATGCTGTAACTCACTGATAAAATGATTAGACAAACAGCCAACTGTGACTGAATAAAGTAGATCTTTGTCATGCCAGAAGTTTTTACTAATACTATATCTGTGTATACACAGCTATAATCTCATGATAGTAATCATCACTATAAAAAATAACTGTATATAACAGAACCGCATCAAGGTCCCAGTGAATGACATCAAGACCATTCACTCCATGCTGACAGTGAAGACAAAAAGCAATACAGCCACATGGACCTGTACCCTAGGATGCTTTCTTAACTGGCCTAAAAATACTAATTGGCCTAAGGATATCTTCACGTGGATTTAGAAGACTAATGACAAAAAACCTCATAGTTTCATTTCAAAGAAACAAAAGTTTTGTTGATATCGATGAACAAATTTTACATAACAAATTTCTATATACAGCTGGTGTTTTTTCTCCATTTCTTCCCAAGTTAATTTGATTCACCAAGGACAGCTGAGCTCTTACATACATGCCAGTATACACTGAACTGAACAGAAGTATGAAAGGCAAAAACAGGACTAGCTGAAATTCACAGGGAAGGCTTCATGGGTAAGTCAGAACTTGAGCTCTCTCTGTTATTATATATGTCTGACATGTCTGTGCTTACACTAACCAAGTTTATTGTGATACCAGTTTCCTTCTTTACACCTCAAAAATCTCTACTTCCATGTGACCATTATTTCTCTCCTTAACTCAATGGCAAGAAAGTCATATTCATATGAGGTCATATTTTGTCAGGCTTGTAAATACAAAGGTAAGACACAGTTCTTGCCCTCAACATTATTAACAGCTGACTGTTGTCCATCATGAACAAGTACAATGGAAACATGCAAAAGAGATTCTGAAAAAGAGCTGAGAAATTTAGGAAGGCTTTATAAACTTGAGTAGAATCTTGGAGGCAAGTATGATTTCTCATCACGGCCTTTTTTTGCTTAGTAATCTTACAGAAAGATACATTTTCCACCACTCCATTTCAACGCCTGCTCAGTGGTCACATGGGGCTCAGACTTCAGCATTACCTATAAATTTCCTGCTAAAATTTCCATTTCAGGAATCCTATTCTCTGACTTCTACTGGCTCACTTTCCAGCTCACTCCCTCTTGTACACTGATTTCAACAACTCCCTCACTCCAGGAGGCCCTCTATCCATTGAGCCTACCCTCTTTTCACTGTCCATCACTCCCTTCGTGTCCTTGCTTTCCCCCTTACCTGGCTCAGACTCCATGGTCCATCATTATAAATACTCCTTTGTATACACTTTCAATTCCTTGTCTCTTTCTCTCCTTCCCTCTGTTATATTACCTGGAAAATTCCAACCCTGATTAAAGCCAACTCTCTACTAGCAAAGCACTAGTAATAGTACTCTGGAAGTACAGAACTATTTGAATTCCCAAATAATTTCTGGCCCCAAGTTCTGAAAGGGACATTTATGAATCAGTTCAATGGACTTCGGAAACATCCAATTTCACAGAGCATCACAGCTCCATCTCTGTGGATAGTGCTGCTAGTCACTAATTACTCATTGAGACATCCTTCTTTTCCACCGAACTACACAGAGCCCTTTAAGGTAGAGACCACATAATATACTTCATGTTGATTATATTGCCTGGTACAAAGGAGCTGCTCGGTAAGTGTTGGATAAATATATAAAGGCATGAATAGGGGGAAGATGCTCTTTTTCTATGACAAAAAACCTCATAGTTTCATTTCAAAGAAACAAAAGTTTTGTTGATATCGAAATTACCACAGGCTCCTCTCCCAAATTCACAACTCACCATACAAACTGAACAGAAGTATGAAAGGCAAAAACAGGACTAGCTGAAATTCACAGGGAAGGCTTCATGGGTAAGTCAGAACTTGAGCAAGAGAGTATGCAAGGCTCTTAGTTGCTAGGATGAGTGCCACAGAAATTAGTTTTTGAAAAGATAGTTTAAAAAATATAAATAAAAATGCTCACTTTCAAAAACAGATGAAGCCACCTGGAATTTAATAGTTAATATGTTATTTACTTTAAAATCATATGTATTTTGGTATATACTGCTCCTAAGATTCACATATATACAAGCATCACAGGAGCTATAAATAATGAAAGCTTTGTTAACCACATTATTGGGGAGAATTAACAAACAGCAACAATGCAGTTAACTGGCCTTTATGCCAGGTTGATCTCCCTATGTAACAATAACTTTGCTCTGCTTTCTGTGATCCAATTTCATAGGGTTTAGTATGTGATCTAAAGCCACAATTATGCTTGTCCTCATAAAGAATGACATTTCAGTAAAAATGATTACCAAGAGTAAAAGAAAAAGCAAATGAACTAGTAAATAAGGAGACCAATAGTTCAAACAAATGCTATGGCACATTTAACATAGTTTCTAAAATTAAAAGTATTTCTTAATTGTAGCAACATGGCCACATCTAAAAGGTATAGCATCACAGGCCTCCAAAGAATAAGCAGATATAACTGGAGTAGTAAACAAATTCTTAGTGGTTGAAATTCTTGCCTTTTTTTCCCTATTGCTTATTTTTTTCACTTTTAATTTGGTAGCTTATTCCAGGTTCCACATTCTTGACTGACCTACTTCTGTGCACTGCAGGAAGCAGGCAGGACAGGGAAAAAGACAAAATATAAATTCGGACAAGCCAAGTCTTAGAATCTGACTCTGGCAGAGTTACAAGGCCACACTGAACTATTCAGGCACTTTTCTAAATCACTTTAGCAACATAAACGGTTCCATCATCCTCTCAGTCATCTTTCCCCTCCAGCATAATTACAAGGTTCTCTCATTTGCATATCAGTTTTTTAAACAATTTATGCAACTGTGTGCAACTCCAAGTTTAAATGAAAATTTTGATAAATGCAAGTAACTGGTGTTAATTTATATAATCCCTAACAATTAACTTTAAGATAAAGAGTCTGAGGTTCTTTGCTGTACCTATTTTTAAAAATTAAATTTACTGGGGTGACTTGGTTAATAAGATCAAATAGGTTTCAAGTGTACATTTCTATGATACATGATCTATATGTTGCATTGTACAACATTCTTGCCTTTTGGAGAGAGTACATTTTCTTCCAAGCTCTAAAAGAGTAAACTATTAGTTATCATCATTGCTGAGTCAAATTAGCTTCAGAACATGAGAGCACGGCTCATTTCTCAGGACAGGCAGACTTCTGAAAGACTAAGGCACAGGGACAATCTGATTTTCAATTATGACTTAATTTGAAGCACCTGCACATAGATCTTTTCCAGTGTGAAAAATAAAAAACAGGAGCAACTCTGCACATCACGACAGGCCTAATAATTTTATACAGGACTATTACACAGTTTCTAAATACAAATGTATTTAGACAATGGATTTTAAAAAAATGAATAAGCACTTTCATCTTCAATTCAATATTTGAGATTAACTTTGCCTTTAAATTAAGTACCATCCATTATATAAGGCAAAACTGAGTAGTTAAGAAAAAAACAGGATTGGAGGCTGAACCCATTTTAAGATTCTCCTTCATTATAAAGTGGAGAGATTGTGGAATAGCCCAACAAGCTAAACTTGGTGGGGGAAAACTATGTGATAGCTGGTAAAGGTAACATAGCAGCAAATGAAGATAATAAGGCCAATAAGCAAACACTGCTTAGATTATTTCGTGCTTTGTACAAATGAGCACCAAGTCCTGATTAATATCTACAACTTCTCATTAACACCTCCACTTCACTATCACAACTGCCCTATTACAGGACTCATTGGCTCTTGTAGACTCTACTGCAAAAGCCTCAACTCTAATTCCTTCTTTTTACTATTACCAGGATATTTTTCCTGAAATAAATATCTGATTATGGCCCTGGTTGGTGTGGCTCAGTGGACTGAGCACTGGCCTGCAAACAAAAAGTTGATGGTTTGATTCCCGGTCAGGGCACAGGCCTGGGTTATGGGCCAGGTCCCCCAGTTGGCGGCATATGGGAGGTAACCACACATTGATGTTTCTCTCCCTCTCTTTCTCTCTCCCTCCCCCTATCTAAAAATAAATAAAGTCCTTCAAAAATTTTTAAAAATCTGATTAAACATATCCCTCCTTTCATGACTTCCCCATCGCCTATAAAAAATAATTTGAATTCCATAACAAGGTATGCAATGCTGTTCACAATTTGGCCTCAATCTGCATTTAGAGATTCATTCTGCCACTTTTATGCTCTCACTTTTACACTGTTTTTGCTCATATTTGTGCTCTTAACCTAAAATGTCCTTTCTCTGCACGCCCACCTGTATAACCCCAAGTTAGCTTCCAAGGACATCCCTGATAAGTCCAATCCCTAGAACTCAAATTCCCTTCACAATGTTCTTATACTGCTCTGAACAGAACTCAACTTGACCACTTAATTGTATCACTGGCTCCTACATCTGTGTTCCGATAGAGGGTGACCTCCAAGTAAGCGGGAGCTTTGTCTTACTCATCTTTTCTCTTCAGTTTGGTACATAATAAGTATAAATGTATGTTTCACAATAGATTAATCAAAGAAGTACAAGTAAATATAAATATAAATATAAATATAAATATAAATATAAATATAAATATAAATATAAATATAAATATGCTGTCTTGATTCTAAGCCTCCTTTTAAAGACTAGGCTCAACTCCAATTTTATCTCCTCCAAGAAGCCTTCTCAATTGCTTTAGACCGCGCTGCAGTGGCACACTGAAGACGGAGGCTTCTTTTATAGTCAGTGGGACACAGTTCAGCATTTTATGTCACTTTATGCACTTGTGTGGTTTCTGCCCACCCAAAGATATGACATGGGCAACTAAATTGTACATTGGTTCTTACAGTTTTCTTGTACTCACTCCATACTTAGGTATATTATCCCCCCACAATACTTGAACCAGTATTCATTCAGAGAAGGTTCTGATAAATATTTTAGATAAGGGATTGGCAAAGTTTTCCTATACAAGGACAGATAGTAAATTAGGCTTGGTGGGTCATAAGGTCCCTGGTTTAATTACTAAATGCTGCTGCCATAGGACAAAAGAAGCCACAGACAGTATATAACAAGTGAGTGTGGCAGTGTTCTAATAAAACTTTAAGGACAATGAAATCTGAATATATAATTTTCATGTGTCATGAAATATGATTGTTGTTTTGATCTTTTCCCAATCATTTAAAAACAATAAAAACATCCTTAAGTAGCAAGCAGCACAAAAATGAGAAGCAGGCCAGCTTCAGCCCACAGGTCATAGTTTGCTGATCCCCCCTTCAGATAGACACACCAATCTACACTCTAAGACAGCTCTGCCATCCAATTCCCAAGTAAAATATTAGCACACATATCACAATACCTTCGTTCAGCACGCTCCTTCTTCTTTAAGGCAACATCTAAATCTTGCAATTGTTCCTCTAATTTCTCACACAGTAGTTTCTGAAACAGCCAAAACATGAATACTATTTTAACACCTTTCCACAGTCATCACTTGCATATTAGCACATGGATACCATGCTATGAGCTGATAAGGGGCTATACAGTGAGTGAACACTGAAATGTTCCTTGTATTTCATTCAAGTGTTGCCTCAACTTGCATTGAATTGAAGGTGATCACAGTATCTTTAAAGTGATGTACATATTAGAGAAACTTAGAACCCTGCCAGAAAATACATCCCATGCCTATCTTGTTGGCAGAATCAATGTTTAAAATAGCATTTGGGCCCTGGCTGGTGTAGCTCAGAGGACTGAGCGCAGGCCTGTGAACCAAAGGATCGCAGTTTGATTCTCACTCAGGGCACATGCCTGGGTTGCAGGCCAGTTCCCGGTAGGGGATGTGTGAGAGGCAACCACACATTGATATTTCTCTCCCTCTCTCCTTTCCTTCCCCTCTAGAGATAAATAAAATCTTAAAAAAAAATAACATTTGGTTCAACATGTATGCATGACAATGATTACAATTTTTAAAAATCCCAAGACATTTTTAAGGGAGAGGGTTTTATGTACCATAAAGTATAATAGTGTGAAATCACTAGTTTTAAAAAAGAGAAAGTAAAAAAACTTACAAAATCATGTCACATGGTTACTGAGTCAAAATAGAGAAGAATGTAACTGATAATGCTATGCTAAGCCACAGAAGTTTACTTCACTGAGTAACGCAACACAGCCCATCATTTTTAAACCAAAAGTTTTTTTTACAAAACTTAGTTCTTCTGAGAATTGCATTAAAAAATAATAAGAGAAGACTTAAGTGATAATAATAAAGGGTAACCATTTCAACAGTCTGTAATTTCACACAAATTTAAACAAGAGGTAGACCACATTTACAGATAGTTTTAAAGATTTAAAATGGTTAGTAGCTGCCACGAAGTACTACTAATTTGAATATAAAACCAAAGACTGGGCAAACAGAGGTGTACTGGGTCCTACATGCTGGCAAGGTGGGCAGAACCACTCTCCATCGGGGATGATCATCAGCGGGGGTCGGAGGCAGGCCGTGTGGTACCCACTGTCACAGGAGTCGCACAGAAGAATCTGAAAGAAACTGGGTATTAGTATCAACCTAGCTCTGTGGTTGAAATTCAATGACTCGAATTAAAATATTTTAAGACATTTCAGTATTTGTTAGTACCATACTAAGAAATATGTGCTTTACTTGCATAAAGTATAATTAAAAAGCTATGATATTAGGGATCTAATATGCTATTTAAAAATTATGAAATGAGCCCTGACTGGTGTAGCTCAGTGGATTGAGCACAGGCCTGTGAAGCAAAGGATCGTGGTTCGATTCCCAGTCAGGGCACATGCCTGGGTTGCAGGCCAGTTCCCATCAGGGGACGCATGAGAGGCAACCACACATTGATTGATGTTTCTCTCCCTCTCTCCTTCCTTCCCCTCTAAAAATAAATAAAATCTTTTTAAAAATTATGAAATGAAACACTAAGAAAATGTTAAACTACAAAATTAAGTGAAAAATAGCAAGTCCTTTCCAAAGTAATCACAATCCTTTTCTAGTGTGCCATGAGGGCTTTACCAATAAATTTTTTTATAACAAAGTTTTACAGCTCAAGTATCACAAACTATCCTACCACACACAGGATTTTAAAAATACAAATAATTTCCACTTTTAATAGCAATTCAATTACCAATCTATAACAATCATTCATGGTTCCTTTTATCAGGTAAATTCAAATATTGAAGAAACCGCCATAAGAGGGGAAGGGAACTGCCTTGCCTGGTGTGGCTCAGTGGATTGAGTGCCAGCCTGAGAACCCAAGGGTCACTGGTTCTATCCCCAGTCAGAGCACATGCCTGGGTTACAGGCCAGGCCAGGTCCCCAGTACCTGGGGGTACTGAAAAAAAGTACTTTTTTACTGTAAAAAAGTACTTTTTTACAGAAAAAAATCATTTTATTTTTAAAATTTTTTAGATTTACAGAACAGTTGCAAAGATAGTACAGAGTTCCCATACACTCTTTACTCATCTTCCATTAATGTTAACATCATACATAACCATGGTACATTCACCAAAAATAAGAAATTAATATCTGTACAGTATTATTAACTCAACAACAGACTTTATTCAGATTTCACCAGCTTTTCCACTAATATCTTTTTTTGGTTTTGGGAGCCAATCCATGCATTTAATCACGTCTCCTTATGCTCCTCTAACCTGTAATACTGTGCATGACTGTTTCGAAAGGCACTAGTCAGAGATTACGTGGACTGCACTTTAACTTGGGGTTCCTCTGGTGCCTTCTCTTGATTAGAATGAAGTCATGGATTTTGGAGAAGAATCCCATAAAGGTAAAGTGCCCTAATCACCATTCCGTATCTGGGGTACATAATACCAATATCACTTACTACTGATGAAATTAACCTTGATAACTTGGTTGCAGTAGTATCTTTTCTGTTTTTACCACTTTAACGTTACGAATTTTCACGTTCCATACTCTATTTTCATTAGAAGTGGTAAGTCCAGCCTACACTCAAGGGGAGGGAAATTAAGCTCCACTGTCTGGAGAAAGGAGAATCAAAGATTTATATATTTGTAAATATAAAGTAAAACTGCCATAGTAATTAATATTTAGGGGGAAATACATTGAAGCTATACAAATATACTGTCTCTTTACTTAAAGGTTCAACCACTAGATTTAGCACTTATTTAGAAAAATAAGTTATAATTTATAAATAATTTTAATTTATATTAATTAGTATTATATATATAAATAATAATGGATCTTGCTTGTAGTATTTATTACTGTGGTGTTCTAATGGTGACTCTATTTCCCTCATGCTTTCTACATTGTTATTTGGAATTCTTCTGTATAAGAAAATATGTCCCTTATCACACATTTGTTTATTCACATTTATTTATATCAGGATAAACAAGTGAATATTTATTTTATTCTTTGGGTTATAATATAAAACTATTACTTGTCAAATTCAGATTGTTCCAGGTATGAAAAAAACCCCAATTGTTCTAGGCATGGACACACTAGGAGCCCTTCTAGGTTGACTATGTCCATAGAATTCATTTGCATCCTTTTTCTTTTTTTAGAGCACTTCCTTACTTTCTAGCACTATAGGATACTCCAAACATATCTTTTACTTTCCCTGCCAAAGCCTAAGAATCAGCCATTTCTCCCAGAAGCCCTGGTTCCTTCAATGGAGAGTGGTATTCAGAAACCAAGACTTAGATGCTGAATGCTCACCGCCTCTAAACTGTTGAAGAGGACAGAGGTGGGAAATATATGTAGGTATAGCAATCCATTTGCACTTGTGTCAATATTAAATACAGTATGAGTTTATACTATTATCTCCGGCTCTAATCCAGCATCACAAGGTTCATTCTAGCCTACAGCCTTGCTTATTCGTAACTTCTTACTCTGACAGTGAGAAAGCTGGTTCATATTACCTGAACTTCATTCACCTGTTCAAACCTAGCATATATAATTTCTAAATTGCTAATACATACCATGATGGGTGGAAGAGCATAGAATGTGCACACACACGTGCATTGATTTGAAACGGAAAAAGTACCCTCCCCCTTCTTATACAACCATTTACTGCCGATACTCAGAATTCAGTAGTTCAGTTACAGGGCTGACTGATTATTTGATTACATAGGCATATGTAGACAAACCTGGGCACCAGATTCCATTTATCACATTGTTTCTATGGTAAAGCACAATCTAAATTTCAAATACAAAATTAAAAGTAAACTTTTAGAAATCAATGTATTTCTACAATAATTATCTCTATTACTCAATAAAGGTAAAGCCCCATTAAAATAAATATTACTATATAAGATTTCCAATCTTCAGCTAATGATCCATGTACCTTAACAAAAACATCTGGAAAATCCCAGAGTTCTATGCTCATCTATGAATTTATTGCTTTTCTGCTGTAAGCTCAATGAGGACAGGGACCATGGTTTTCTATTTCAGGATCATTTCCCTACCATTTCCCTTACCACACAATAGTTACTTGATATTTTGATTTGAGGATTATCCTTAAACACATGGCACAAGAAATCCACTATTTAGCCCTGGTGGATGTGGCTCAGTGGATTGAGCCCCGGCCTGTGAACCAAAGGGTCGCCAGTTCAATTACCAGTCAGGGCACATGCCAGGGTTGTGGGCCAGGTCCCCAGTAGGGGGCATACAAGAGGCAACCACACATTGATGTTTCTCTCCCTGTCTTTCTCCTCCCTTCCCCTTGCTAAAAATAAATAAAATCCTAAAAACAAAAAGAAATTCACTATTTAAGATCTCTAGTTTCCAATGATATTTCTCTTTGGCACTGTACCCAGCAATGGGATTTTTAGAGCAGTTATTTATATAACTAAATAAAAATTCTGCATGTGTGCCAAGGTGTAACTATCTCTTTAATGTCGTTTCTGCTCACCTTGTTTTACTTTTAATTTCCTCACCCCCCCCTTGTCATTGACATCTACTGATGCCTCAGTAAAATGCACTCTCTTAGTGTATAGGGAAATGGCAGGGAAAGAGTACAAGTGTTGGTTTGTACTTGATTTAGATGGTAAAAAAGACCACTGTCTATCTTTTTTTGGTCCTTTCTCTTCACAAAAATCTTGACCTAACTCTCAATCTGATGATATAAAAATGCTTTCAAGGGTCTTTTCAGCACAATTTCAGCATCTACGTTTCTCAGTGTTACATCATTATCTAGTTCTAAGTTATATCTTTTGAACCCCCTGGAACTAGAGGAATATGATAAACTCCACTGACTTAGTTCCCAGATATGAGTTTAACTTAAAAAAAAAAAAAAGTAAATCACAAAAAACTTTAATCCAGCACATAATACATGTACTAGGCAACTTTACATAACATTAAAAGCAAACCTAAGAACTATGTTTAACAGTTTAATTTCCCCTTTACAATGAAGACATTAAGATACAGAGAAGAGAGCACCTGGTAAGTGGTGGAAGCAGGATCTGCTGCCAAGTCTGTCTGGTCCATGCTTTTCCCATCACACCATACTGCTTTCTAGGAAAAAAGAGCCTTGGAGAACCACTTCATATGAATTTTCCCAACTTTAAAGGATCTGAAACTTTTCTGATCCACCAATTCTACCCATGTAGAAGCATCTTTCTTTGCATTCTTTCTACTTAATAGTTGGAGCCTGCCTTTAAAGTCAAATGTATTCAAAAGAACAGAATAGTCAGATAAAATTGGGCATAACGGGAGTGTTTCTTCAATAGGCTCTTTAGAAAGCAATTATGAACTGCAGAAACACACACACACACACACACACACACACACACATCTATATCTATATCTATCCATCTACCTACCTGTGTTAGGAACTTGCTTTCCTGATTTACCTTACCTCTGAAGAATGTACTTCCTGGGTAAGTTCTATGTCAATCTGTTACTATTCTTCTGAATAAATCTGGTCTATAACTTATACTCTTAAAGTTTTTTTAGAACTATCTATTTCCTAAAATACAAGGTCCTACCAGGTTAACTACTTGACTTACATGTTGTTATAGAAAGGCAGTAAGTCCTTTAGGCCTTACTTATTTAAAGCTGGCACTTTAGAAATACTATTGTAAGTTAACTTAAAGGGAAAGAATAAAAATTTAAAAGAACAGAACAGAAATATTTGAATAATTCCTATATTGTGAGGAGAGATTAGGAGTATATACTTACTTACAAAAAGAAATACCAGCATCTAGCCAGGTAGAATGAAAGCAGGAAACTGACTTCCCCAGAATTAGGTTATTTGAAAAACAGAAATAAAGGTTATTTTGCACACACAAGCTCTGCACCATTAAAAATTTCAAATCATGAGCAAACCCAGAAGAGCAAGGCTTCTTTGGAAAACCACAGCAAGCAGTAATGTGAATATTACGTACTAGCTCAGGATGGTTTGGAAGGCCACATTTTTTGCATGGTTCATCATCATCTGCTAGGACGGCTCCTTCACTCTCCTTTTCTTCCTCCTCTTCTGAAGCTGCAGATGTTTTTTCACTGTCAGACGCTTCACTTTCATCATTGCTGGAATACTTCCACCTGCCACGTGTTCGAGAACCAGTCCATCGAGCTTTGCCTTTGGTTTTTACCTTGTATAAAATAAAAAAATTGAGATAATTTGGTATAAGAATGTAAAAAGAAATGGGAAATTATTATAGCTTCTTTATAAATGTACCTGTTTAATTTTGCCATATATTTTTATTATTTTTCTATTTTGGCAGGTATTTTAATAAACACTGTTTTATATTTTCCCTAGTCATAAAATGTTCTCCCAATATCACTGTAAAGACTGTATAATACACCATCACATAGTTGCATTTACCGAATCCTGTACTAACCAGACATTTAGGTGGTTTCCCATTTGTTCACTTCAATAACCAATTGTATTACTATAAATATAAACTTTTACACACACACCTCAGTGCTTAGGATAAATTCCTCGAAGAGAATTCTGGGTCAAAGGCCATGCACACTTTAAAGGCTCTATAAGAGAGCACTGACTATGTGCTTACATTTTGTTATACAAAATTTTAAATTCCCATATATTAGAAGTAAATATAAAAATTTTAATGGGTCAGAAATGCATACAAAAATCGTGACAAACAAAAAATATATTATTCAGAGAGTAATTTTATAATGATGTAAACTCCTTTTTATTGCCTGGTTGCACAATTTTTTAATTAATATTTTAATTAATTCCTACAGTGTAAGTCCTCATCAAAGAACAAAATAATTCTAACAGAAGGGAAAGTTTTTTTTAAAGAATTAAAAATTCAGTATTCCAGGGAATAAAGAATCACTTACAATGAGGAATAATCTGATCATTCAAATGAATTCAAAACAAAAGCAGCACTTTTAATTACAACAAACCCCCACAGACTAGCCAAAGAATTTTACCAGATTTTTCTTAAAATAAGAAGGTCATCAGAAATAAATTCTGGCCTCTTAGACTACTATTTAAAATTGGGGAATACAGGCACTCTCATACATGTAATGAGAAGGTACATAATGGGGCCATTTTTGGAAATGTGTCAGCAGCTATCAAAACTTAAAATACACATGCCCCTTGACCCAACAATTCCAATTCTAGGAGTCTATTCTAAAGAAATACTCACTCATGTCCAAAATGATCTTCAAAGCAGCATTGCCTGTAATAGTGAAAAATTGGAAACAACCTAAATGTCAATCAATAAGGGAGTAGTCAAATAAACTGAGGTACATCCACACTATGGAATACTATGTGGCCAATAACCAAAAGGTAGACTCTCCTACTGACATAGAAGAGTTCAGAGACACACTGTTAAGAACTAAGAGAAAAAAAGAACATATTTGATTCAATTTCTTTTTAAGTGACTGAATAAATATTTACAAACATGTACATAGATGTATAGAAAAATACTGAAAAACCACCTTAATAGTGCTTATAGGAAATTTTCACTTTTTAATCCTACTGGTTGGGTATTATTTGAATACTTTACAAAGAGCATATATTCCTTTACTGCTCATAACAGAGAAAGTTTAAAAGATGATGGGATTATACAGTCCAAACTGAAGTATCTGGGGATAGCTACTGAGAAAAGACATTTCAAATACAGAAAGATGTTTGTTTGTTTTTTAAAAGTTATCTTTGAATGACTTGTTTTGGCCAAAAGCCAAGACAACAAATACAGCCAGTACACATACAGAAACAAATACATTTCTAATAAAAAATAAAACTCAGAGTAAAAGAAATTTTACCTTGCTTACTTTAAAATTTGTATCTTTGTCGATTTTTTTCAAGTTTTCCTTTTTGTCTGTTTTTTGCAAAGCTGCTGATTCTTCTTCCACTTCATCTTCTTCCCCTCTTTTTTTATCAGCTTTCTGATCTCTGATCTCAGCCACTTTCGCTGTGGGTCTAGATATTCTTGGAGACCTCCTTAAAGTACGAACCACATTTGTTTTCTCTTCTTCCTTTTCTGACTTCTCTTGGTTGATTTCTGGTTCTAGAATTTTGGGAGGAGAATCTGACTTCTTCCGGCTGGATATCCTAATTGTTAATTTGATGCCCTCTTTCTGCCTTTCAGAAGTTATCTCCGTGTTTCCTGGAGCAGTGGTTTCTTCTTCGGGAACCAACTTATATTTAAATTTGCTTTTTGGCATAGAGCCTTTGGTCTCAGAAGAGTCCTCTGTGCCAGGAGTCTGGGCATTGTCCGGGTTAACCACTTCTACCTTCATGGGTTCAGAATCCTCTTTTAAAAGTTCTCGGTCTGTTTGTTCCGCAGACTGACCTTCGGTGGAACTTGTGCTCTGACGCTCTACCACTTCTTTCTCTGAGGCTGGTTTCTCACAATGGCCAATCAAGTTAGACGGTGAGGAAGTTTCAACTGCCTCAGGAGAGCCTGGCTTCTCTGATTCTAGAGTATTCTTTGGAACCTCCTCTGGTATTGGACTCAATCTTTGTGTGTCCTTATCAAAAATAGTCTTTTTGGACTTCTCTAACTTTTCAAGACATTCTAGGACTGGTGGGTGCTTATCTTTCTTACTTTTGGGAGATTTCTCTTCAACCTTCATGGTATGGGATTCGGCAGTAGATAAAGCAGTTTGTAAAGAGAGATCCTTTGCCATTTCAGCAGCCTCAAGAGAGGTCTCCATTTCTAGAGGATCAGTTTCCTCTCCCTGCTCTTTTTGATTCTGGATTTCTAAATCTGCTATTGAACTTTCTCCATCTTTCCCTAAAGGGACCACTCCTTTCTCAAGATCAGCTATTTTTATACTGGTTATGACAGAACTTAAGGACTCTGCTCCATTTCCCTCCATCATGACACTTTTATCCTTGGAGGGGCTGCAGCTGTCCTCCTTGGTATCATAAAACTTTGTCTCCATTTGTTCTGTCTTAAAATTTGGAGTTAGCTTTTCATCAGTAACTTCTCCATTTACCAGCTGTTTCCCTTCATGACCCAAAGTAGTGATTGCAGAAATCCTTTTATAAGTCTCTTCCTCCTGTTTTATTTCATCTTTCAAAAACTCTTTTGTTGGAGTAACTGATTTACACAAAGGTCCTTTGATTGGACTGTCAAAATCATCACTCAGTTTAATTTCTCGTTTTTTCAGTGGTATCTTGGCCTGCTGGTCATTTTTAAGTTTCTCAGTTTCTTCGGAGGACTTCTCAGTAATTTCTTGAGATTTCACACTGACACCAAACTCTAGCCTCTCCGGCTCAAGCTTCTCCACGCTACCCTTGGTATCTTTAGGGTCTGCTCTACATTCCTTCACTTCAGCTTTAATGGGCTTGACGTTTTCCTTGAAGGAATCACTTTCTTCTTTGATAATCTTTTTTTCTTCACTTTCCAGCAAAGGCTTTTCCAGCTTTACTATTACTGGCAGTTTTACAAGTTCCTTTTCATCTTCTTTTTCTATTTTCACGGTAGTTTCTTCCAGGGAATTGGGTGTAGAACGATTTTCTGAATCTACTGCCTGCTCTTCACTTTTCCGCTTTTCATTTTCCTTCTGTTCCTCTGAAAATCAGAAGAAGTTCACATGAATCTAAGCATTCAAGATATATAAAATATAAAAGGTTTAACATATATATTTCCATTTGAAGTTTCTCTCTTTAAAAAGGTGACTTTTGTCAGTGGACATTTAATAATAAAAAAATCAAATCTGATGCACTGGCTGGTGTGGCTCAGTGGATTGAGTGCAGGCCTGTGAGCCAAAGCGTCACTGGTTCAATACCCAGTCAGGCACAGGCCTGGGTTGTGGGTCAGGTACCCAGTTGGGGGCTTGCAAGAAGCAACCAATCAATCTATCTCCAGTACACTGCTGTTTCTGTCCCTCTCTCTCTCCCTTCCTTCCACTCTCCCAAACAGTCAATAAATAAAATCTTAGAAAAATAAAAATCAAATCTGACAGTGAAGAAAATTACCAGACTCTTGAGACATAACTCCTTATTATAAAAGTATTATTCAGAAAGACTCAGATTTCAGCCCTGGCTGGTATAGCTCAGTGGATTGAGTGCGGGCCTATGAACCAAAGGGTCACGGTTTGATCCCCAGTCAGGGCACATGCCTGGGCTGCTGGCCAGTTCCCGCAGAAAGACTCAGATTTCCGCTTTACATTTTTAGCTTCAGTGTTCCTAATGGAATGCAAATATTTATACAGCTCAAATAATACAGTCAAGCTCAAATATATGCAACTAAACATTTCCAAAAGATCATATTTGTTTGGAAAAACTGACAATTGTTCTTCTTTGCAAGTCACAGAGCACTTCATTTAATTGAGGTAACATGAATAGGCAGGGGGGAAATGTGTATTTTATTCAGATTATAAAAGTAACAGGATTCTGTCCAGAAAATAATGTCCATAAACTTAATACACAGAGACAATCATTATTTTAGGTTACTCCCTTCCACTCTTGTGTATTTTTGACAAAGTTGTAATCGTGCTGCCATTTTTTCCACTAAACATTAGTACTTTCGTATGTATTTAAATGCTTTTCCAAAAATTAACTTAATTATATAATATATAACATTTCCCAAAGTGGTTTTATTACAATTTACTTGATCAAATGCAGGTATTAACATTTCAAGAGTAAATATTTTACAAATAAACTATTAGGTTTATCTATCAATTCTTTTAACCTTATTGGCTACATATGTCCAATGGTGTACCTAACAGTACGAATCAAACCAAAGCCCAACGTAGTGACTGTCCTATCTGTAAATGGAACGACAAGACTGCATATACGCTTGTGCTCAGCGTGGTGTTTTCAGAATTTATTTAACACTAATTTTTCTTACAGTTCCCATCATCTTACCCTATCCTGCTAGCTGAAGAGCCTCAATTCTAAATGAAGTTTTACCAAAAATTCTGAACAGTTGCTTGCCAAGTTGATAGAAGTTACATATTTCATGGGAATAAAATAGAATTGATAGAAGATGAAGTAGGACATGTTTTATGCAGTAAGAATTCACTGTCCCTTTAAAGAGTGAATTTTTATTATAAACCATCATTTCTTTTATGTTTAATCACGTTGCAAAAAAAAAATTCAAGAACCACTGAGAACCATTCAGAACCTGGGATTAGAGTATAAGTATTGCTCCTCTCTCTTTACATTGTTAGTGATTTATACACACCACTAATAAAATTAAAGACATCACAGTAATCTACTTTTACGTCTTCCCTTTCCCACTGATAAAGTAGGCTTAGTAAATTCCTGTTCATTGATATTGGTTTCTGTATCAGATAATATGATTAAATGAACATCTCAGTTAACAATTAAAATATAAATTACCATTTGTAAAAACAACTCCAGCCTAATGCTTCGAGTTTACTGAACATCATTTCTTCTGTATATTTTGGTTCAGAAAGTAATGCAGGATTTCATTAAGACTATGACCCAAGGTAAAAATGACATAACAAATACTGTACTATAAATATGTAATGTAATAAATAATGTCATATTGGCAACCTCATTATTGTGTGCATGTCAAAGTAACATGATGTATACCTTAAATTTACATAACACTAGGTGCAAATAGATCCAATTAAAAAAATGACACCTATGTTTTTATTTGGTGGTGATAAATGAGAAAGTTTCTTCAGTGTAGACTGATTTTGATTTGAGTAACAACAACATGGCCAAATAAAATGAGAAGTAACATTAGAATCAAGACCTCCAAGCTTACTAATCTTAATGCAGCCAGTGGTCTATAAGCATGTCCCCAACTCTGTAATCCTCATTTCTTCATCTACAGAAAGCAGCTGGACTAAGTTCCCTTACTAACTCATGTTTCTCTCAATCAAGTGAAACTTTACACACAATCGTAGCTGTGAAAAAGGTCATTCTCTCATGCAAGTGTTTCCCTCAAGTTTTTTTGTCAAAAGAAAACTATTAAAGAGGATGCAAATGAGTTTGAGATATAAAGTTTGATGTGACAAAACTCAAGAAAAAGTAAACTTCAAAAATCACAATGCAGCAGCAACAGCACCTGATAAACTTGAGGTAATTCAAGAGGACTGTTATCTACTACAGGTTTTTAAAGCCAATTCATCATCCATTCACTTGACAAATATTTCTTGATCGCCTACTATGTGCTTTCCCAACCATCCCCACCAGAATCACTGTGTAGTGAGACAATGAATGCTCTGCATAAGCTAATAGTGAAGGACATTGTATAGCCCTTCTTTTTTCCTACTAACAAAACTTTGACTTTGTTCTGGAGAGTACTTGCCCTAAAACTTTTTATTAGGGATACAAACTGACGATATTCCCATTCCATCATTCCTGTATTAGTAATTTGTTGGAATAAGTTCTATAAAAACAAACTATACTAATTTATTGTTTTGCCATAGAGTAGTACATTTCATACAGAAAAGGTGGGGTGAATGCTTAATCTTTTTCTTTCATATAAGTTTTCAAAATAATAATTCAGTCCCAACGGCATACTTCAAATGTTACGTAACCAGTTTTCCTTTTAAATACCATAATAAAATCATGGATTTAAGACATGATCAAGGTGTTTTAACCCATTACACACTTATTATCCTTGTTAATGCTCGAATTGTCCTATATTTGGCAGTGGAAACCTCTTTTAGTTGGCTCTTGAGTCTTTTCAATGTGACTCTGATGGTGTCCATACTACCTGAAAGGCAAATGTTTCTTGGTTCCTTATGTCCTAGCGTTGGAATCAGCCACTTTTCCAAGAAGCCTTGGTTTAGTTCAGTGGGATACTATACTTCAAGATCACAACCTGGACACTAAGGATGCATACTGCTTTGCCACTGTCTCCAAGTCTATTTGGTGGACAGAGCTAGAAAATACACGCATATATTTTTAAATAAAAATAACTCATGAGTTCAGAATACTATTTCAGACAAAATGGCTGCCCCCATGCCAAGGAGTTGTTTTGGTCAGCCAGGGCTTTAGGATGGTGGTCTTGACAGCCAGGCTCGGTGACTCAGTTCATAGCTGCAGTTCCAGTGAGAAGCAAAAAATGCTTCACACCTCCTATTTATGAACCCAAACACAAATCAGAAAGGAGACAGAACATGCTATCTTCAGTGAAGCTAACCTTTGTCTAAACTCATACCATGACCAACTTCACAGCCTGGCAATGGAAAACTAATTTCCAACTTTAGCCACCTATGACAAGTTAAGCAGACTGATACATAGACTAGAAGGGTTGTCCAACTGTTTGGTATCTCTGGGCCACACTGGAAGAATAGTTGTCTTGGGCCACACATTAAATACACAAACACTGACAAAAAATGATGAGCAAAAAAAGGGTTTTAACTAAATTCACAATTTTGTGTTGGTTTGCATTCATAGGCATCCACAGGCATTCACGCAGCCTGAGGGCTGCAGGCTGGACACCCCTGCTAGAAGATGTGCCCAAGGATGTCCTGGGGTATGCTGTCTTTGAAAAGCATCTGACAAATCCATATGGGAGCTGGAGAATACACAGCAAGACCATCCCTCCCAGGACACCCCCTCAATAGCCCATCCGTAAATGGCAGTGATCCCTGGCCCCAAGCTGAAACCCTGGGAAGACTGTGAACAGCTACAAGCCCATAAGCCTCAGCTAGCCTGATGGCACAAGTGATTCCTAGGGTGAAGTGTGGGTGATGAGGTGGCTAGGAGTTGTGAAGTCATCCATCTCCATCATGCTGTAGAAAAAAACTGCCTCTGTTCTGTCCTTCCTGCTTGGGTCTTTCCAGCAGTCTCATCCTTAATAACCCAGCTGATAGCTCGGCCCAGGTGCTATGCACAGCCCTGGACCCGCTTATTCTTTAAATTTTATATCTACCTTTGGGTCTAGATGAAAGACACTTTGTTTCAGAGGACACCTGACACCAATCTTTCCCATAGTAGAGACTGTCAGGAGCAAACTGGTAGAATTTTCTTATCATATGATAAAGATCAGAGTTTGAAATAAAACACTCTCAAGTGTTTTGGATCAATTCCAGTGGGTTCTGTCCATATTCTCCGATTCAGGTTAGAAGTAGACCAGCCTTCAAATGGCAGAAATGAAAGACGGGCTTAATTGTGAGTGACATGATGTCCAGGAAATCCAGACTTGGGAAAAATAATTAGTGTTTATATGAGATAGTATATATCACTTAAGAGGGTCTTTTCTCAAACACTGATTCACTAAATCAGCATCTACATTTCACAGAAGAATGTAAATACAAAGGAATAACTGATCGCTCCCCCCCACCAAAAAGAATACTATTTCAGTGTTTCCTTAACCTTTTCCGTATTACACCTTATTTCCTTTTCCCACACTGAAAATCCTGGTTTTCGAATGTGTTCTGTCCTGGAAGTGAGCGCCAGGTGGAGCGATCTGAGAATTCCTAAGGCGCACTGCCCCACAGCTCCTTTAGGACCTGAGTTTCAGATACTGTCTACAGTCTTCAGTTTTGCCGTCAACATGTTCCTTTAATGAGGGGATGTGCAGACTGGCAAACCATGTAGCTCCACTTTCCCAAAACATAGATAACTTCAGTTTTCTCCTTC